AGGAACAGAGGAACAGAGGAACAGAGGAACAGAGGAACAGAGGAACAGAGGAACAGAGGAACAGAGGAACAGAGGAACAGAGGAACAGAGGAACAGAGGAACAGAGGAACAGAGGAACAGAGGAACAGAGGAACAGAGGAACAGAGGAACAGAGGAACAGAGGAACAGAGGAACAGAGGAACAGAGGAACAGAGGAACAGAGGAACAGAGGAACAGAGGAACAGAGGAACAGAGGAACAGAGGAACAGAGGAACAGAGGAACAGAGGAACAGAGGAACAGAGGAACAGAGGAACAGAGGAACAGAGGAACAGAGGAACAGAGGAACAGAGGAACAGAGGAACAGAGGAACAGAGGAACAGAGGAACAGAGGAACAGAGGAACAGAGGAACAGAGGAACAGAGGAACAGAGGAACAGAGGAACAGAGGAAGAGAGGAACAGAGGAACAGAGGATGACAGGGAGTGAGGGCCCCTGAAGAGAGTTGAAGAAGGGAAGAAGAGCAGAAGAGTAGAGAAGAACAGGTATGACAACATAGCGAACCGTACAGTCGTCTGGCAGGCTCTGAAGGAATATTTTCCAGCTGTATCGTGCTGCTGTTGCACTGCTAATCCATTACCATTCACCACCACACCACCCCCACGACCCTCACCACCCCCACCTTGAGGGAGTATAAGCAGCACACTGTACCATGGTCTGGCAGGCTCTGAAGGAATTCCTCCAGCTGCTTCGTGCTGTTGTTGCGCTGCCGATGCCCGTCCATCGCCAGCCCGTTCACCCCCACCACCCTATCTGCTCGCACAGAACCCACCCCAAGGAGTATATGAATGTGAACAATACCATGCTCTGGCAGGCTCCGAAGCAATTCCTCCAGCTGCCGCGTGCCGTTGTTGCGCTGCCAATGCCCGTCCATAGCCAAGCCGTTAAACCCCCACCACCCTCCAGCTATACTGTGTGCTGCTGTTGCACTGGCAATCCACTACCGCCCACCATCCCCACCTTCAGGAAATTCATCATACCGTGATCCGGCAAGCTCTGCAGGAATTCCTCCAGCTGCTTCGTGCTGTTGTTGCGCTGCCGATGGCTATCCATAGTCAAGCCGTTAACACCCCACCACCATCACCGCCCCCACTGACCCCTTCACGCCCACTCCACAATCACGAGCCACCCCCACCACTCCCACCATGAATCAAGCGTCATGTTACCATGGTCAGGAAGGCTCTGCAGGAATTCCTCCAGCTGCTTCGTGCTGTTGTTGCGCTGCCTGTGACCGTCCATCGCCAGCCCGTTCACCCCCACCACCTTCACCGTGCCTACTGACCCCACCTTGAGGGAGTATAGCACATCATCTCACCATGATCCGGAAGGCTCTGCAGGAATTCCTCCAGCTGCTTCGTGCTGTTGTTGCGCTGCCGATGCCCGTCCATCGCCAGGCCATTCACCCCCACCACCTTCACCGCCCCCACCTTGTCATGGAAATTCAGGGCACCAACATACCGCTCAAAGCGCACTGCGAGCTGTGGAAGGGGAGATGAGAGGACAAGGAGGGAAAACAAAGGAGGCGAGGTTAGACACAGAGGGGAGGGGAGGCCGTTCTGCCTCACCACCCCTACCACCCTTACCACCCCTACCACCCTCACCACCCTCACCACCCCTACCACCCTCACCGCCCCCACCTTGTCATGGAAATTCAGCACTCCCACGTACCGCTCGAAGCGCACCGCCAGCTGATGGAACGAGGGGAGGTCGGGGCGGGGAAGAGGCAGAGGTGGGACAGGCAGAAAGAGGGGCAGACGAGGAGAGGCAGAAGAGGAGAGGCAGACGAGGGGGTGCAGGAGAGGGCTATACCCTTCCTCTTTCTTGTTTCGAATTTTCTCAAATCTCCCAACCCTCTCCCATCCAACCCCCCGGCCCCCGCACCCACCTCGTGCTGCTTTCTCTGTGTGCTGCTGAATCCCACGTCCCTCTCTCCCGCCACTTGAGCCAAATCCGTGCGCATGTGCACATTCACTCCCCCCTCCCCCAGATGCCAACTCCCCACCACAGCCCTCCCTGCACCCACTCCCAGACTCTCCTTCCCGAACCGGCCACTCGTTGACCCCGCTCATTCGCCCCTCCCTGACCATTCTTTGATTCCCTCTCCTCCCTGTCCTCCCTCTCCTTCTCCCTCCCTCTCTCTCGCTCCATCTGCTGCCTCCGCCGCCTCTCCCAGGTGTGAGGGTCAATCAAAGGATCGTGTGTCTGAAACACGTGGTGGTAGCGGCTCGCTTCTGCTCGGAAGCTGGTACATGATCACAGACAGAAAGGATGGGATGCACAGAGAAGGGACAACGAAGGGAGGTCGGGATACCCTCAGTCTATCCCAGGTGTGCGGGTCAAGAAACGGGTCGTGTGTCTGAAACACGTGGTGGTAGCGGCTACCTTCTGCTCGGAAGCAGAGTGGTGGAAGCGTGGTGGAAGCTGGTACATAAAGCAGAGTGGGTGGCGGGGAGAAAGAGGGGAGAAGGGCGGGAGGGCGAGAGAACATGGGAGGGCAAATAAGAGTCGTCTGGGGTCAATTTATTCAACCACGGATCAATGGAGGGGCCTCGTGGGTTTAAGAAACACATGGTTGTGGCCAGGGATTGAGTTCTGAGCACCTCGTGAAAATGGATTTTACATCACGTATTGTGGTGGCACCTTGCTTTTTAAACACCTGAATGCTCGTGGAAAAGCAGCAGAGCAGGTGGAAGGGACGTACAGAGGGTAGGTAGCGTCAGCTCCGGATTGGAAGAGGTCTCCAAGCGTGACGACGAGGCTCGGGGAGAACCGGAGAACAGAGGCTCGGAAGGCCCGGCGAAGGTAGAGGTCATTGCGGAGGCGAGCCGTGATGAACTGGGCGTGCAGGGCTGTGCTGGGGAGGAGCTGTGAGGGGTGCGGGAAGGGGAAAGGGGAAGACCGGGAAGTATGAAGAAGGAAACGGCAGTTAGAAGTTGTTGCGGAGGCGAGCCGTGATGAACTGCGTGTGCAGGGCTGTACTGGGGAGGACCGGGGGAGGGGGAAGAGGGGGGACGGGGGGGGTAATGGGGGAGGGTAGGGGGGGAGGAGGGAGGAGCTAAGGGGGAGGGGTTAGGGGGTAGGGGTCGTTGCGGAGGCGAGCCATGATGAACTGAACTGCACGTGCAGGGCGGTGCTGGGAAGGAGCTGGGGGGAGCATGCAGGGGAGAATGGGGGTTGGCGGTGGAAGGGTGAGAAGGAGAAATGGGTTCTGATAGTGGTGCAGATAGAGGTAGTTGCGGAGGCGAGATGTGATGAACTGCATGTGTCGCATCAGTTGTCTATAATGCGTATGGGTAACTACTGAGTGTAGGATAAGTACAATGCAAAGGATGTCCATGACGCGTATAGAGTGTAGAGCCCACCTTTGGACTGCTGATGACTGCAATGGTCTTGTATTCCTTGGGAGGAATGTACTGACCCTGGTAAAACAACAAGCAAGAGAATCTGAAATTGGCAACTTGGCAAAACGGTTGAAAATCGGTTGAATAAAGGAGTTGGACGGTGGATATGAAGCCAGACGCAATTCCAATTTCCGGTGGATTCGCAAGCAAGAGTTGTGTTTGCATGACAGAAACTAGCCTCTTGAATGAGCACCAGACAATTGAGTTAAAAAAACCTTAGGAACATAATACGAAATCTCACACCTGAATACTCACCTGAACATCCATCTAGGCTCCACCTGACCTCAACTTGAATACTGCACCCAGCCACCAGGAGCACTTCAAATCTATTCGTTGTAAGAAGACCACTTGTTTCCCACCACTCCTCCTGAACGCTCTCGTCTGGCCACGTGGAGCAGCTGGGCGGCCGAAGCCAGAACTGAATGCACTCGCTGTAGAGCAGGCTGATCGTCCACACGACGCCGAGCACTGGAACATTCAACTGAAACTTCACCCGAACACTCACCTGAACGCTCTCGTCGGGCCACGTGGAGCAGCTGGGCGGTCGTAACCAGAACTGAATCCATTCGCTGTAGAGCAGGCTGATCGCCCACACGACGCCCAGCACCGTCGCCAGCACCCATTGCGCCATGAATGCCTACGACGACCTTATCCGCGGTAACGAATCTGCCTTTTTATGACTTCGCTGTAACGAATCCGTTGTACTCTATTCGCTGCAACGAGTCCGGTGTAACGAATCCGCTCTAACGAATCCACTGTAACAAGTTCGCGAACAGCGTTTCTGCAACAAAGTCTACAAACGCAGATGACGAATGAGACTAACCCTAGAACGATGGGTCCGGATTCCTGGTTCTCAAGCTGTGTCTTGTTTTGCGACGTTCTGGAGACAAGCAGGCTTCTAGCTATCTTGCGGTCTTTCTTACGAGGCGCAATGCGTGCTTCGGTTTCGCTCAAACCCTTCAAAAATTGTGAGACAAAATTGATGACCCAGAAAGGCGTGTGCCAAATTTGACGGAATTCGGAGTTCGGCAGGCAACACAACAGGCTCGTCTGACAACCTTGGGAACATCGAATGTGCCAAACGCGATATGAATCACCCTTTTTATGGGTTTTTTGAGTGCAAACAACAATTGTCTAAACCCTGAACGCTCTGAAAGTTACCAACGTTCTGTTTGACTGCTAAACGCCTATGATATTCAGCACAAAACTGTCTTCGTGGAAGAAGTAAAGATTAATTAGTACAAAGCCCCTACACCACTTCAGCAGGGGGCTAAAGCTTCCACCGAGCTAACTGCTCAGCAGAAAGCAATTAAATACAGAGTAGCTGTTTCAAAAATCTACACTAACGCACATCAATGGTAAGCTTTCCGTTCCCGATTCCCCCGATGCTCCCCCTTGGATGCCTTTACTCGGAAACCGTGCCAAGCTACCAAGCAATAGCCATTGGCAGCAGGATCGGGCTAGGTTCGGACGATTTCACCGAGGCTGTTGGCGTAAGTACGGACATAGGGCTTTTTCCCAGACCAGCCATGTGCACGAGCAGCTTCTCCGAATCTAATCCCATCAGCTCCGCGATCGTTCTCATGCCATGAGGAACCTCCTGCGGCTCGGCAGCGTCTGTGCTTGGCACCCGAGGCGCAGGTGATTTGAGATCGTAGCCAGAGCTTTCGGCGTTGGACGGTTGCCGGGAAAGAAGTACTGGATAGACTGTTGGGCCGGGAAGTGCGGCGTTTGTTGCGGCGGAAGGCGCGGGAAGCGCGGGGAGAGAGGGGCGGAAGAGTGAAGAGACGAGGGAGGACCAGAGGAGAGAGGTATCGACGACGCACACGCACCCGTCCCTGTGGCTTCGCTGCTTTCGGCCCAAACTGTACACTGCGCCGCGCTCGCTACTGCCTGCGCTGCTCGCGCTGCTCACGCTGCGCCCACTATCGGAGCTGCTGCTATTAGCGAAGAGGCGCATATCGGAACTTCTCGATGATGAAGACGAGGAGGAGGAGGAGGTTGAGAGAGACGAAGAAACCTGCGCCGCGCCGGATGCAGGAACAATCAGCGACTTCTCGAGTTTCGTGGGATTCTCCTTCGGCTCCTCGCGAGCGCGATTGCTCAGCGGAATCTCTGTGAACGCGTCCGGCCTGCTCGGCTTCTCACCGGCCGCCGCCGCTACCGGCTCGTACTTCTCGTACACGATCGGCGTCGGGAGGTCGTCCCATATTCTGTGGCGCCTCCGGCGCTGCTGCTTCTTCTGCGGCTGCGCCGGCTGCGGCGCCGTTACGCGCTTCGGCGGCTGGTAGAAGTACGGAAGCGGGGAGGGGGAGGGCGGAGGCGGGTTGAAGTCGGGGATCTGGAGCAGGCTGGGGCGGGGGAGTTTCCCGAGCGGCGGGTGCGGGTTGGGCATGGCTTGCTCCTCCTCCTCGTATGATTCGTCGAGGAGATACGAAAGACGCGACGCCCAGTATTGAGCCATTTGAGATCGCTCTGGATCGTTTCTAGCGAAGCTAAACGCCGCCGACGCTAACTTGCTCTGAGAGAGGCGGAGTTTTGAGATTCGGGTTTAATGAGCCTCGGAGGCCACGGCTGATTCTCAGGAGACTCACGACGCGGCTCAACGCGCGAGAGTGTTGAAGGAAACGTGGGGAACTAGGTCGAGCAGGCTCGTCGAGAGGAGACAGCTAGATTCAGTGCTTGTGCAATGCGTAGAGCGGAGTGCCAACGGCTCTTACAGCAAGTCTTCGTGCCGAACTTCTGCTTCTCAGTTGAATCGCAATGGGCAACCCAGGAAGAAGGATGGTGCTGGTGGTCAATGCCTTGTCTTGTGTGGTGGAACGATGGCTATGTTGTTGAAAAAAGTCGTTCGTAAAGAATTTATTTGTAGGGCACAGCAGCAGAAGAGGCCAGCTAGGGTACATGCGCCCCCCATTGGCCAACAACTCTCACGTCCTCCCACCCCACACAACCACTGGCGTTTGCCAGGAGCCAATCTCGCGGGCCGACAAATTCTGTTCGGCCCTCTGTTGCCACGCCGAATCGGCCACCAATCATCGTGCCCCGTGTAGCCATCCGATCTGACCAGGAAAAATTGCATCCTCGAGCCGCGCATCGCCTTGAGCTCCGAACCGCGGGGAGGCTGTTCACTCTTGCTTCTCAGGAGAGCCTTTCTGCGGCGCGGTTGGATCTGCCAGGTGGAGTCAGGTGGGGACCTGGGTTCTTGGGAATGCCGTAACAGTGGCATTTGGAGCGGACAGCGGGTACTCGCGGTTCGCTTCAGGTGGCCCCAGGGCTCCCTGCTGCTAGCCAATGGGCGCTGGAGCTTCGCTCCAAACATTGTGGAAGGTGCCCTCCACGGTGAGGAGGAATGCCAACATTTTCAAGCTGCTGCCCTGCTGGTGTGGTGGGTGGGTCTTTCATTGCGCTGCCTCGCAAATTCCTGGTAGAGTCGAGTCGCAGGTAGGTTGGCATTCTTTCGCAACTCAACAAAACGAAACCGTGAGCGTGTGATTCGGCCATCTGGTCTTCGCAAGCAGATCTCTGCCCCAGGCGAGACGTGTACACACGATGCCCGTTTGACTAACCCAAGGTTGCCTTGTGAAGAGGGCTCTTTAAGTGATTCTTGCATTTCGTGGAGGTTACGTCTATTTGCATCGGCCCAAAAGGGCTTATAACAAAATTTTGTAACTCACCGTTGACTGTTTGACTTCGGTCTCTTCAGTTTCTGTGGTTCGTATTGGTTGACGTGCTTGTAACGTGGGTGCAACTGCCAGGAAAAAAATCCACGCGTGCGAGGTTTCTAGAATGTGAAGACAATTTCGCGTGCAGGGGTTGGGCATCTTGTGTACGGAGTAGGCAGAAACCTCAGTAACAGCAGCTTGATATGTTGGGAAGCACATAGGAGATGGGTGAAGCTTGATTGCAGATGAGAAAAAAATTATTGAAGTACATTCCCAGCACCTAGGTTTTTGATAAATGAGGTGCCAGTTCTAAGCTCTAATTGTTACAAAATTTTACCAGTATAGTTCCTGATTACTGATTCAGGAGCGAAAATGGGACATCAGCAAGTCAATGAGTGATGCTGCATATGTGATTCATGCATTTGTAGGAAAACCTGGGGAGCTGTGCAACAGCTGCTGCTGTCACTGTTTCAGTGGCCACTTCTGCAGCTGCTGACCTAAACTCATCTAGGTGCTACAGCCTCCTCCCTGATTCATACTGGAGAATGTCCATTCCTTCTGCTGTTACGGTACCTTCAATTGTAGCCTTCAGCTTCCCCTCCCTCTCCCCTCTCCCCTCTCCCTGCTCCTTCATTGCTTCACTTTCTCTCTCCTTGGCAGCCTCACCCACTTCCCTTTTGACAACCCTCCCTCACTACACTCAGCCCCTCCCTCTTGGCTTCCCTCTTGCCTGAGCCTCTTGATTCTAGGAATCAGCCCCACCTGTGCAGTGCACTCTCAGGGGAAAAAGAAAGGCGATCTTACAAGTCACCTCAAACACTCCGTTCCTCTTCCTCTCCTTCATCTCCCCCTCTGTTTTCCCCCGCCTTTCCCTTCTCTTCCCTCCTCTCCTCTTCTCTCTTCCTCTCCCTCTCTGCCCTCCTCTCCTGCTCCTCCCGCTGCTCCAGCATCAGCTTTCTCCCGCTCCACCTGCTGCAGCAGCCCATCCAGCTCACCTCAAACTTTCCTGTTCCCTTTTCTCTCCTCCATCCTCCCCTCTGCTCGCCTCATTTCCCTTCTCTCCCTGCCTCTCATCCTCTGCCCGCCTCTCCTGCTCCTCCCGCTGCTCCAGCATCAGCTTCCTCCGCTCCACCTGCTGCAGCAGCCCATCCAGTTCACTGGACCGCACAGGCTTGGTCAGAAAGTGATCCATGCCCACCTGAGGGGTTGTGGGTTGGGGTTGGGGGTTGGGGTTGGGTGGAGATAGGAGGTAAGGTAAAGAGGAAGAAGGGGGGTTTCAGTCGCTCCACCTGCTGCAGCAGCCCATCCAGCTCACTCGACCGCACAGGCTTGGTCAGAAAGTGGTCCATGCCCACCTGTGGTTAGGGGTTGGGTAGGGTGTGGGAAGATAGGAGATGGTACAAAGGGTTTCAGGCTTCCGTCGCTCCACCTGCTGCAGCAGCCCATCCAGCTAACTCGACCGCACAGGCTTGCCCGCCCGCACGCTGGGGATTGGGGTGTGCGAGCGAAAGAGGATGAAGGGGGATGGGATGAGGTGCCATTATTACATTTGAGTCGACTCAAACCCATCTCGACCGCACAGACTTGGTCAGGAAGCAGCCCATGCCCACCTTCGAGTGGCGGTGCATGCGCTAACCGCTGATTTACTCACCTCGGTGCATCTCAGCCGTTCGTGCATGAGTGCACTTGCAGTGAGAGCCACGATATAAGGCCGCTTCCGCTTCACCCCACTCCCCTTCCTCCGCCGCCCCTCCTCCCCATTCCCATCCACATCCCTCTCCTGACCCCCTTTCCTCACCCCTTCTCTCACTTCATCTGCTGCTTTACTCCCACTACCACCATCCATATTCGCCTTGTCCCCATCCATGCCTTGACTACTGGGCTTGCCTTGGTCACTGGGATTGACACCACCAGTACCATTATCTCCTTCCCCATCTGCCGCTTTAGCCCCGCTACTCCCCTTCCGAACCGACTTGTCTCCATCCATGCATGTGGCACCGTCTGTAGCGTCAGCTGCCGCCGAAGCTGTTGCAGCAGCTGTTGCAGCAGCTGTAGCAGCAGCTGTTGCAGCAGCTGTGGCTCCATCTGTAGCGGCGGCTGTAGCGGCATCACCAGCAGTTTCCCAGACGGTGGGAAGCTCGCGGATCTTCTGAGTGGCGATGAAACCGTCCATCACCGGCATGTGGCAATCCTGCGGCAGGGAGCGAGGGGAGACGGGAGATGGGGGTGTTGTTTCTGAGGCGCATTCACATAACAAAGCTCTCCCGGAACTTCTGAATGGCGATGAAGCCATCCATCACCGGCATGTGGCAGTCCTGAATGGGGGACGGAAACAGAGAAGGGGCGGGGGGGGTAGGGGTGGGAGGGAAGGAAGAAGTGCGAGAGGGGGGACAGTGAGGCGCATTCATATAGCAAAGCTCTCCAGCACTGAGTGACTGAGTGAGTGAGGGAGGGAGTGAGTGAAGGAGTAACCCTACCCAGCATGAACACCACAACGTAGTCCTTCTTGCACGCCCTGAGCGTGTGAGTGAGTGAGTGAGAGAGTGAGTGAGGGAGTGAGTGGCCTATGTAACACCACCCACCATGAACACCACGTCGTAGTCCTTCTCGCACCATGAATGATCGGGTGAGTGAGGGAGTGAGTGAGTGAGTGAGGGAGGGAGTGAGGGAGTGAGGGAGTGAGTGAGGGAGGGAGTGAGAAAGCAAGCACCCACCATGAACACCACATCGTAGTCTTTCTTCTCACACGCCCGCAGCGCCTCCTCTCCGTTGGACGCCACGTCAGACACCACGCCCAGCCCCCTTAGCATGCGCACCACCACCATCTGGTTCACCTTGTTATCCTCCGCTATCAAACACGCCAGCCCCTTCCTCCTCCTCTTCCTCTCCTCCTCACTTCCCAACCCCAGCCCCCCTTCTCCTCCTGGCCCTGTGGAGGGACCGCTGTTGGGAGCAGCACCGGGAGCAGCAGCAGCGGCGGCTGTAGAGGCGGCCGCTGCAGTGGTGCCGGCGTTGCCGCTTCGGGTCCTGCCGCCTCCTCCCCCCCACGTCGCTGCTCCTGATGCATCGGCTGACGAGCCTGCATGGACAATAGTCGGAAGTGAGGAAGATTGCGTGAGGGATGCAATGGAAATCGTGTGGGTGTGACTTGCCACAGTCTCCCCCTTCTTTTAAAAGGGCCGATGCTATTCTAACCATGACAAGCATAGATACTGACCCGCCAGCGAGTCGTCTCTGGCCATCAACCCGCCGTTCCCTCCCAGCGAGCGCACAGAGCTGTGCGGTGGAGACAGGCAGCTGGATGGTGAAGGCGAAGGTGGACCCCGCACCCACTGAAGCATTCCTGAAGCCACAGCCTTTGAAGCGATACAGATATATCTAGATAGGAACTGACCTGCGAGAGAGTCGTCTCTGGCCATGAGCCCCCCGTTCCCAGCGAGCGCACAGAGCTGTGCGGTGGAGACAGGCAGCTGGATGGTGAAGGCGAAGGTGGACCCCGCACCCACTTGGCTGCTCACGTGAATGTCCCCCCCCATGAGGTTCACGAGGGATTTCGAGATCGCCAGCCCCAGCCCCGTGCCCCCGTAGCGGCGGGACGTTGAGGCATCGCCCTGTGGGGTAAGGTGGGGGGTGGGTGGAGGAGAGTGGGGTGTGTTGAAGGAACCGACTCCAAGCACTTGGACCTCTGCCCCCGCGCCCACTTGGCTGCTCACGTGGATGTCCCCCCCATGAGGTTCACCAGCGACTTGGAAATCGCCAGGCCCAGCCCCGTACCCCCATAGCGACGAGACGTGGAGGCGTCACCCTGTAAGGAGTGGGTGGGTGTGGGTGTAATGGAGTGGAGTGTGCTGAGGGAAGCAAGTCAAACTAGCCCACGCTGCCTCCACCCACCGCGCCCACTTGGATGCTCACGTGGATGTCCCCCCCATGAGGTTCACCAGCGACTTGGAAATCGCCAGGCCCAGCCCCGTACCCCCGTAGCGACGAGACGTGGAGGCGTCACCCTGTAAGGAGTGGGTGGGTGTGGGTGTAATGGAGTGGAGTGTGCTGAGGGAAGCAAGTCAAACTAGCCCACGCTGCCTCCACCCACCGCGCCCACTTGGATGCTCACGTGGATGTCCCCCCCATGAGGTTCACCAGCGACTTGGAAATCGCCAGGCCCAGCCCCGTACCCCCGTAGCGACGAGACGTGGAGGCGTCACCCTGTAAGGAGTGGGTGGGTGTGGGTGTAATGGAGTGGAGTGTGCTGAGGGAAGCAAGTCAAACTAGCCCACGCTGCCTCCACCCACCGCGCCCACTTGGATGCTCACGTGGATGTCCCCCCCCATGAGGTTCACCAGCGAAATCGCCAGGCCCAGCCCTGTACCCCCGTAGCGACGAGACGTGGAGGCATCGCCCTGTGGCAAGTGGGTGTGGGAGTAGTGTAGGGGAGTGGAGTTGGGTGACTAAGACTGCAGGCCCAGCCCGTGGCCCCCCGCACAACGCGGGGGGACGTGGAGGCATCGCCCTGCGGCAAGTGGGTGTGGGAGTAGTGCAGGGGAGTGGAGTTGGGTGACTAAGACCGCAGGCCCAGCCCGTGGCCCCGCAGCGACGAGAGACGTGGAGGCGACTCTTGAGTCGACTCAAAAGAAGGGGAGTGGACTTGGGTGACAGAGACCGCAGGCCCAGCCCGTGGCCCCGCAGCGGGGGGACGTGGAGGCATCGCCCTGTGAGTGGGGGCTGGCAGGTGGGAAGCAGAGGGAAAGGAGGGAAAGGAGGGGAGAGGGCGAGGTAGGAGCGGTGGTGAAGCACAGTGCACACCTCTTTGGAGGCACATAGAAATGGGAAGAAAGCCTTGAACCGCCCATACATCGCCCGTACCTGCATGAACGCGCGGAAGAGCCGGGAGCATGCCTCTTGGCTGATGCCCATGCCCGTGTCCATCACACTTATTTTGTGTGTGAGTTGTGGTGCGCGCGGACATCGGACGACTTGAACCGGACTCAACTCCCCCATACCTTCACCAAGCCCAGTCAACGCCCACGCATACCTGCATGAACGCGCGGAACAGGCGGGAGCATGCCTCTTGGCTGATGCCCATGCCAGTGTCCACCACACAGAACGTTATCCATACCCTCTCCTCCCCCTTCTCCCCCTCCCCCTTCTCCCCCTTCTCCCCTTCTCCCCCTCCTCCCCCTCCCCTTTCTCCCCCTTCTCCCCCTTCTCCCCCTTCTCCCCCTCCCCCTTCTCCCCCTTCTCCCCTTTCTCCCCCTTCTCCCCCTTCTCCCCCTTCTCCCCCTTCTCCCCCTTCTCCCCCTTCCCCTGCCCCTTCTCCTCCTTCTCTCCATGCTCAGCAGTAACCCCTCCATTCTTTCTGCTGTTCTCCCCCTTTCCGCCTTCTCCTCCCTTCCTTCCCTCACCTACCGCCTCTCTCCTATCAGCCACAACCCCGCCTTTCTCCTCTCTGTCGCTCTCCCCAAATTCCGCGTCTTCTGAGTCACCCTCCGTCTCCTCCCCTCTCCCTTTCCGCCTTCTCTCCTCTCCCCTCCCCTCGCCTCCTCTTTCCTCCTCTCCACCTCCTCCCCTTCTCCGCTCGTCCTCTTTTGGCGACACACCCTTGTCTGCTGCCCCTGCTGCCTCTTCCCCCTTCTCCCCCGCCGCTGCTCCTCCGCCCCCCTTCTCCCCCGCCCCTGCTGCCCCATGCACGCGCCTGCGTTTCGCGCTGGGTTCCTCCCCTCCCCCCCTCGAATCAAACTTCCTAGTACCCCCTGCATCCACCAAACCCAATCCTCCTCCCGCTCCGCCCGCTGCTGCTGCTACTGCTGCTCCCGCTGCTGCTGCTACTGCTTCTCCTGCTGCTGCTGCTACTGCTGCTGCTGCTGCTGCTACTGCTGCTCCCGCTGCTGCTCCTGCTGCTACTCCTGCTGCTGCCCCCGCAGTCTCTCTCCCCCCCTTTGCTCCTCCACCCCCTACGCCTCCTTCCCCCCCTGCAGCTCCGTCCGCGCCCTCTCCTGCAGCAGCGGCTGCAGTAGCAGCCCTATTCTTGCGCACGCGAGCGACCTCCTCCTCCGTGGCTCGGCGGATCACGATTTGAATGCCGCCGCTGGTGGGGGAGAGGGGAACGAGGGGAGAAGAGCACCTTTTGAGCCGAGAAGGAAATTACTTTGACCTCCAGTCTTGCGCACGCGGGCGATCTCCTCCTCTGTAGCCCGGCGGATCACGATTTGAATGCCGCCACTGGTGGGGAAGAGGGGAACAGGAGTTGGCCGAGAGGGGAAAGGGAGGTGGATGGGGGTGATACTTCTGAGACAACTCATAAGCCAGTATCTTCTCAATTCAGAGCACGCGAGCAACTTCGTCCTCTGTGGCCCGGCAAATAGCGATTTGAATGCCGCCGCTGGTGGGAGAGGGGGTAACGGGAGGTGGGGAGGGAGACGATGATAAGAATTATCAAGTTCTCACTCTCCCGTTAGAGAGCAGCCACTCCCTCGCCTGTGGCGGGAGTTACAGCTCAGGGAGAGGCCATGCATGTTATCCATAGTCTACTAGTTGAGACGCAATACGGACCTACGCAATTTGGACCTACACCAGTTGAACCCAAACAGTTGCAGCCATGTCAGCGCACCTCTGGGTGAACTTGCTGGAGTTGGAGACGAGGTTCAGAATGATCTGCCTCAGCCGCCCAAGAGAGAGGCAGAGGCTAGTCTTTCATAGGGAAAAATATAGCTAACCCACTTCGCACCTAAACGGGGGCAGCCATGCCAACGCACCTCTGGGTGAACTTGATGGAGTTGGAGACGAGGTTCAGAATGATCTGCCTCAGCCGCCCCGGATCGCCCCTCACATAGCGCGGCACGTCTGGAGCCACTCGGCTCTCCAACTGCGAGATAACACACACACAGAGCAATGAAAAGGGAGGGATGGAGAAGCTTTTGAGTTTTCTCAAAAACAATGATCTGCCTCAGCCGCCCCAGATCGCCCCTCACATAGCGCGGTACATCAGGAGCCACTCGGCTCTCCAACTGCCAGATCACACAGACAACCGGGGAAAAGGAAGAGTGAAAACCCGTCTCCAGCTCGAAAGACAATGTTCTTTGAAACGTATGCAAAACAGTCCGTGACCCACCAGCAGTCCCTTCTCCGAGGCAGCGACACACAGCAGCAGCGACACACACAATGGCCTCACTGATGCACGACGAGGCAGACGGCGGCGCTCTCCAGACGCAGAGAACAAGCAAACGAGCGCCTCTCCACTCCAAATACCTCGGAAACCTACCAGCACTCCTGCGAACCCACCAGCAATCCTTTCTCCGAGGCAGCGACACACAGCAGCGCCGTGGCCTCGTTGATGCACGTCTCAAGGCAGAATGCGACGCTCTCCAGGCCCAGAGATTGCGATTCGATCTTGGAGAGATCCAGCACGTCCGATATGATTCTCAGCAGATTGTCTCCCGACGACCGGATGATCTCGAGGTAGGAGCGCTGCTCCACTGTGAGCGGCGTCCGCAGCAGCAGATCCGCCACTCCCAACACACCTGCAGTGGGCAGCGGAGGAAAGAAAATGGGAGAGGTTCAGCAACCGTGGCACATCATGGCATACTAAGAATGATCCGCAGCAAATATTGTCTCCCGACGACCGGATGATCTCGAGGTAGGAGCGCTGCTCCACTGTGAGCGGCGTGCGGAGTAGCAGATCCGCCACTCCCGAACAAGAGCTCACACACGCGCACACACGGTGCACGGTACGAACGAGCACTCACCGTTCATGGGCGTGCGGATCTCGTGGCTCATATTCGCCAGAAACAGGCTCTTCGCCTCGCTCGCCGCCTCCGCAGCCTCTTTCGCCTTCCGCAGCACCTCCTCCTGCCTTTTGATCTCCGTCAGATCATGCCAGTTCGCCACAAAAAACTTATCCTCCCCAACCGCCACGCACTGCACGTGAATCCGCACCGGCACCTCCGTCCCGTCTCTCGCCAGATGCACCCAGTTAACCACCATCTGCCCTTTTTCCACCGTCTGCCTGCCGATCTCCAGAGCGATTTCGGCTGAGAGTTGACCGTCGGGCTGGCGGACTGGCGAGAGCGGGTTGGAGTAGCCTGGGGTGGCCATGGCGTGGGAGAGCGCGGCCTTGGAGGGGTACTTGAGAGTGCGGAGGGCGGAGAGGTTGCACTCGAGGAGAATGTGATCCATGTTGTATATCAAGACCGGGTCCTGTGAGGAAGAAGCGGTTGGAGGTGGGGAATGGATAAAAAATTAGGCGACTACTGAGTGGCAGGGCGGAGAGGTTGCACTCGAGGAGGATGTAAATCAAGACTGGGTCGGGTGGGTGAGGGGGGAGGAGCAGTGGGCGGGAGGGGCGAGCGTAGGGTGTGTGTGAAGACAGTAGTGACTGTCTGCCTATCACCACCAGCTGCCCCTTCTCCACTGTCTGCCTGCCGATTTCCAGCGCCAGAACTTCCAGAAGCTGCCGAACAACACACCCCTTGCTCACTCACCACTGATTTCTGCACCATTCTCTTGAACGGCTCCTCCTTGTTCTTCCTTAGAGCACCATTTTGATTTTGATTTTTTTATTATTATTATTTTATTATTATTTTACCAGAACACCCTATTAATACAGGGGTTTTCATCACATCACACTCCCCTCACTCACTCACCGCTGATTTCTGCACCATCTTCTTGAACAGCTCCAGCTCCTTGCACTTCCTTAAAAAAGTGGCTCTATTTCAAAGTACCCTGTTTATACAGGGTATTTTCGTGCTCCCTTGCTCACTCACCGCTGATTTCTGCACCATCTTCTTGAACAGCTCCAGCTCCTTATACTTTCGGAAAACTGGGTTTATTTCAAAATTACCCTGCTTATACAGGGTATTTACGTGCTCCCAAACAACACACCCCTTGCTCACTCACCGCTGATTTCTGCACCATCTTCTTGAACAGCTCCAGCTCCTTGTACTTCCTTAAAAGCAGACTCGCTGCTTTGTAAGACCACTCCAAAACCTGCTCCTCCACCGGCTTAGCAAGCGCATAAGTCGGCTTCGAACCAGCTGCATCTGCATTGGGAGGCTTTACACTGACAGCTACACCGGCACCTGCATTGGGAGGCGTTACGTTTACAGCTGCAGTTGCAGCAACAGCTGCATCGGCTGGTGCGTTAGCGACTGTGTTAGCAGTTGCGTCAACAGCCGCGTTGCTAGTGACCCCAGCGGCTGTTAGTGCATCACCATTATCACCAGAAGTACCGGGAGATGATCCGTGGTTGTCCAGATGGCTCAGGACATTTAAACCGGAGCCCACCGCTTCCTCCAGCGCTGCACCACGGAAAAGACCCTGGTCCTTCCCGCAGACGTCTGGGCTTAAGTGCTCTGGAACTAAATCTGAAATTCCCAAGGTTTTCTCCTTCGCCTTCTCCTTCTCCTGCTGCTGCTGCTGGGAGTCTGAAGCAGGAGAGGGTTTCGGCGGATCGTCTGGTTCGGAGTCAAGAGCGCTGGCGCAGCGCACGAGCTGGAGAAGAAGTTTGAATAGAAGCTTCTGGAAAGGGGGGGGAAGGGGGGGGGGGGGCGGGGGGGAGAGGGGGGAACGATAGGACGGTGGGACAGGAGGGCAGGCTGCGGGTTTGTACGGATCGTCTGGCTCGGAGTCGAGAGCACTGGCGCAGCGCACGAGCTGCAGAAGCAGCTTGAATAGAAGCTTCTGGAAGGGGGGTGGATGGGAGCGACAACAAGAGGGTGGGACAGGAGGACAGGAGGACAGGAGAATGAGGGTTTGTGCGGGTAGTTTAGCTCGGAGTCAAGAGCACTGGCGCAGCGCACGAGCTGCAGAAGCAGCTTGAATAGAAGCTTCTGGAAGGGGGGTAGGAAGGGGGGGAGGGGGGAGGGGGGGAGGAGGGTTGGGGAAGAGGGGGGGACGACAAGACGGTGAAACAGAGCTTGAATAGAAGCTTCTGGAAGGGGAGTGGGAGCGACAAGAGGTTGGGACAGGAGGGGTGGAGATTGAGGGTTTCTGTGGGTGGTTTGGCTTGGAAGAAAGCACAATGGTGCGGGGGAAAGGGAAGAGAGAGAGAGCCGTTGTGATGGTGGAGGGAATAGAACAAAAAGAACAGAAGTACACATCTTTGAGAGGTATAAATTGCTGCAAGCATACGATCAAGCTAAGCATAGGCGATGAGAGCAGCACCCTTGCAAACAATACTCGACGACTGCTGGCGAAAAAAAGAGAAGAAGCAACGGATGAGTGAAGATATCGCACACAAAAAAAAGCCTGTTGGGCAATGAGAAGTTGTGAGACAAGTGAAGCAAGTGAGAATTGTGGCAAGAAAGAAGAGAAGTGCCACACCATTTCGTCATCCCGGTGAGGTTTTCTCGTTATTGTCGCGACCACGAACCCTGGGCCCTCCTTCTCCGAATCATCCTGAAACCACTGGAAGTTAATCGACGCGGAAACCCGGCCGTCGTCCGCTTTCCGCCCGGATCTCTTTTCCACACCCGGAAACTTCGGCGGACGTGGCTTCTTCGGTCCATTTGGGGTGCCTTTGCAGAGCGGGCTTTGGAGTTCCGGCAGCGGCCGCGCGGCGTTTCCGCCAGCTTCGGTGGCAGTCGGTTCCGATCGGTTCGCCGGATGTGAATCGCGTAGCGCATCTTGCGACACAGAAGTAGAGAAATGCGCGATTCGAGTAGGGACACGACGTGCACCCGCCGCCGTCTCGCCGTCGCAAGGGGAGATTAAGCGCGGGAGATTTCCCGCCTGGTCCTCCCCGTCTTCGGAAGCATTCAAGCCGGTGTCAACCGCTAGTTTATTATGTTTCCTTGAACCGCGGACCAGCTTCCCGCAATGCCTGCAGCATTCCATGCCGCCTTTTCCGTGAACAGTGGTAGCATTGAACGACTCGCTTCCATCGCGAGGTTGCCGTTGACTGGGACAACTAAGACCACCTTCGAGAGTTAACAACTCGCCTTTTTTTCGCGACATGGAGGCCAGCGCCTTACACCAATCGATATGGACCTCACTGAAGGTTTTGGCGGGGATAGTACACGGTTTGATGGTTCCAAGCGAAGGAGAGTCGGGAGTGAAAAGTGCGGAGATTTTATGGTCGTAAAGATGAGCTTCGCAGCAGGTTCCTAAAAGCGTGACGGCGGCTCTGCTCGCAGCGACGACTTGAAAATCGGACGCCGATAATACAAGCTGTGCGACCCCTAGCGACTCCTTGATAAATTGTTGAATGTCGTTGTTACACATCGTGAATAAATCCACTCCTGGTCGACGACGACTTAATGTTTCTTCTAGATCTGAGGCGCCTTTATGCTGAATGCTGGACTTAAGAAAAACAACTAATATGTCCAACGTTACCAGATGAGCTTCAAGTCCCGTTCCGGTTCTATCGGAAATCCTTAGACTGTTCACATGATTTAATCGATCGCATGAACCAACCTGGCGTGTGCATCGTCGATTCAAACCACGCACGAGCACATGCGGTCCCAAAGCCAAGACCAATCCTTAGGCTGAAGCGACATGCAACTCACTTGCAGTTTGCCAATCTTATCTCGAGGGTTCCTACCTACACCGCAGGGTAACGATTCTCGTCCCGTGTGCGGGAAACGGGTGAGGGAGAGATATGGAGAAATCCAAGCTTCTAGCAGCCTAACGAGTGAATATTACACCGGAGCAGCCTACAGCAAGCGGATAACGAAATCACATCGCATCAGAATGGAAAACCCTCCTTGCAGGGAAAAGAATGCAGAGGAGCCAATTGGCTGGTTGGGTAGTTGGGAAGAGCAACAACCGAGGCCATACGATCTTCGTGTGAGACGGATGGGACTGCAACGGCGGAAATCGATGAGGGTTGAGAAAAGACACGAGGAAACGAGAACAAAGATGACAAGATCTAGGAACTAGGGAGAAACTGGGAGGAGAAAGAACTGTGAAAAGAATCAGATCCAAGATCCTAGAATCAGCATCACCTTGATTTGACCGCAAGGGGATGCAGAAAACGATGGTGTGCTGTGGTGTGTGCTGCGGTATGGTGTGTGGTGTGCCCAGGAGGAGAAAGAAAGTGGCAGAAACGGAGCTGGCGGAAAGAGAGGTGACGGAAAGAGAGCTGGCGGAATGCTGGGCTGGCGGAACGGAATCTTGCGGAAAGGGGCAAAGGGGGAACAAGCAAAAGTGTGGAAGGATGAAGCCGTGAATACGGGCTTCCCTTACTGGCCAAGCACCCGTCTTAAATAAACGCCTTGTCCGCATTAATATCAAGTGCTAGTGTCAAGCCCCATCAAATCAAGGATCTCCTGACACTGAATTCGGCACTTAGAGAACTTTTGTTAAAACCTTCGACGTGTCCCCGTAGTGTTAGGGGTGTTACTACCTCCTCTGTGTTTTCGTCAGCCAATGAATTAAAAAACTGTTTAGACCAGCCTCCAGTCATTTTTCTCCTCAGCTCGCAACAGGCCTTCGCAGGTTCGGGCTCCCATTTATGGAGGCAATGATTTTGCTGCCTATAAGTTTAGAAGGTTCTTCTTTTAACGCCCAGTTCGTCCGGCCTAGTGAAAATGCAGCACCGCGGCCATGGTGGTGGAACAGTGCTGATGGTGGGCAGACAGGGGCGTGACTGCACTAGGTGGCGGAGGAGGCATCGGGAAATGTCAGGGGAAGGTCTTTTGGTGAAGCTCGGCGGGAAGGGGGGACGCGGGGGTCATCTGTGGAGGAAACCCAACCAACCACCATCTCCCGCTTCCGCCAAACCCGCAACAGCATCATCAAGTACAGTTGCGAGAATGCTGCAGGGAATTGCAACTTCCACCCTTGTTACGGTGGGCAGAAATCATTACAAAACCACAATGCCGCGTGCACTTTTGCTGCCCGAGGGGCTTTGAATAGCACACAAGTTGTCCCTACGGGCAGCGAACCATGAGGGCAGGACGGAGCGGTGGGAAAACAACTAGAAAATGCACAAAAACTGTACGGTTCTGTCAATGTAAAACTGCAGCTCAACGGCTAAATAAACGACAACAAGCTCATTGAGACATGTAAGGTACAGTTCATGTACACATTGGACATTTTTACTGCAGCGTTTGATGGGGGAACACCATCAATGCTACAGTGATAACAAGCAAACCTGCAAGGTTGTTCTGGAAACCCACTACACATGGTCCGCGCTATTTTCACACCCCCTTTTTCACACCCATGTGTATTCGTTCCTGATTTACCCTAAACTAGGGGTTGTTTTAACCTGTTTGGCTTTAAAGAGGATCCGATGGGTCGCAACTAAACAAAAAACCTAAAACATGGTCGCAGCGGAAGATCCAGTCTTTGCGCTTCGGTCACCGTGTAAGAGTCCTACAACATCGACACTCCCACAATGCCACGAATGGCCTCCAGTTTCGGGGTGTCTGATACCTCTAGTCAGATAAGGTCAAAAGGGGCTTTAAGGGGAAATCGAGGGGGTGTGAAATTGGCGCGGACTAGGTGTACTGAAACAGCATTCGTCTTACCCTGCCCGCCATTGGCATGGCTTTAGGATTCACCCTGCTCTATTATTTCAACCACATTGCACTATTTCATCCGTACAAACTTATGCTAACTCTACTTTTCCTCATAAGTTTAGCCCAGTTCTGGTTGGCCTCCCTTTCCCCATACGTTTTTACCGCACATGATTGGGGCATAACATATCCGCCGCATGATGCAACCTCGAGGCAATGTATTATTCTGTGGCTAGCTTGCAATATCCTAGCAAACATTCTTTTCACCCACTAGTTGGCGGGTTTCACCTCAATTACCGTAATCAGTAACTCCGGCGATCAAACAGCTGTTTTTTTATAAGCTTATTTACAATGCACGTAACAGATTTTGTCAAGATTCACAACGGCTGGATTGGAGGAGTTAATAAAAGCAGTCGAAATATAGCAGCAGACGCCATGTGCAGATCATGTGGGCTCACAAACTCGTCCGGCCGATGACTCACACCCCCTCGGCATCTCACAAACAGCATTCCCACCTGTTATCGTCAAGAACCACACAACAAACCAGGAAACACGAGTCAGAGAGCCACAACAGAACTCAGAAAGAAGCTCAGACTCAGGAAACAGCAATCACAAGGAATGAGTCAAGTCAAAGATTCAGAGAACCACAATAAGCACCCTCACAACAACACGTGTGGCTGCATCAGCACCCTCACGCAAGGGTCTACATCAAAACCCCGCCCGCCACGTACCCCTCACCACCTCTTATCATCTCCTCACCAGAGTAACGCCTGCCATCGCCATGGCACCATGTCCCGCCTCGCTGACAAGCCGAGGACCCCTCCACATTGTTTCATAGGAGGAGATACCACCCGAAGTTACATACACAAACCCCCACCAACCTACCACACCACCACCCCTCACCACCTCTCATCACCATTCTTCACCTGGGTAAGGTCTGCCATCGCCATGGCATCATGGTCTGCCCCGCTGACAAGCCGAGAAACCTCCGATTCTATTCCATAGGAGGATATACCCCCAGCCACCCTCACCACCCCTCACCAACCCTCAGTGCCCCTCATCACCGTCCCTCACCTGGGTGAGGTCTGCCATCGCCATGGCATCATGGCCTGCCCCGCTGACAAGCCGAGGAACCTGCTGCCCTTGCTGCTGCTGCTGCTTCTGCTGCTCCTGCTGCTCCTGCCGCCCTTGCCGCTCCTGCTGCACTTGCCGCTCCTGCTGCACTTGCCGCTCCTGCTGCACTTGCCGCCCTTGCCGCTCTCGGCACCCCTGCTCCCCTTGCTCCCCACCCTCGTGCTTCCTACACCCATCCGCCGCTTCACAAGTGTTCTTGCTGCCACTGCTGCTTGTAGCTGCCGTACATTGGGATAGGAGCCCACCAGCAGCGTCAGGTGAGGCAGCAGCAGCAGCATGATGTGCACGAGCACTAACAGTACCAACAGCAGCAGCGGCTGTTCGGGTGTGGTGTGAGGCAGTGAAGTCGCTCCTGAGAGTGGTGTGGTGTGAAGCAGTGACGGCGCTAGCCGCTGCCTGGTGTAGCATGGAGACGAGGGCAGGCGAGCAGTCAACCGTGTCAGCTTGATGCTGGAGCGAGCAGGAAGGGGGGCATAAGGAAGGAGATGTAAGGAAAGGGAAGAAAGGAAGTGTGGTGTGAAGCAGTGACGGCACTAGCCGCTGCCTGGTGTAGCATGGAGACGAGGGCAGGCGAGCAGTCAACCGTGTCAGCTTGATGCTGAGGAGAGAAGGAAGGGGACGAAGGGAACGGGAAGAAGAGACGAAAATTAGTGAGGGGGGTCCGCACCCTCACACGTCTATCTTGATCCCTCTCCCACCCCACATCCTCTGCAATCCTGCTCACCGAAACACAACTTCACCTTCACCTGAGTGAACGCCACTCTACACGCCACTACTCACCACGCTTCCACGGCATTTGAGGCGCCTCAAAAGCCACACTACACACACCAACTTCCTCCACTATCCTGCTCACCAAAACCCACCTTCACTGCAAATCGGCACGACAGCCGTCGCTCGCTGCAAATCCGCTCAATCTCCCTCCCAATTCTCTCCACAGCTGCGAGCCTCACGCCGTTGCTCCGCGCCCGCACGTCCAGGGTGAACGACACTCTGCCTGTCACTACCTACTCCAACCCAACACCAAAACACACCTTCACTGAGAACTGGCACGCCAGCCGTCGCTCGCTGCAAATCCGCCCAATCTCCCTCTCGATGCCAGCCACAGCAGCGTGCCTCACACCGTTGCTCCGCGCCCGCACGTCCAGAGTGAACGCCACGCTGCCTGCTATCACGTTGCTCTCCCCCGGCCATGCTGCCACCTTCCCCACCGTGCACACCAACCCACTTCCTGTGTCCCTGCCTGCCCCTCTGCCTGCCCCACTGCCTGCACCGTTCCCACTGCTGCTGCTGCTGCTGCTGCTGCTGCTGCTACCAATCCGGCCTATCCCTCCAAACCCCTCCTCCTCCTCTTCCTCCCTTTCTTCCTCCTCCTCTCTCAGCATACCCTCGCAAACCGACTCCACAGCTACAACAGCAGCAGCAGCGCCAGCCACAGCGTCCCTCCGAAGCCGCATAGGCACCGTCCCCGCGTGCCCCTGCTCGCCCTCTATAGTCACCTCTGCTCGCGTCTGCCCAGCTATCCCCAGAACCACCCCCAGCGGCTGCCCGAGGGATTCCAAGACTGGGCCCTGTTCTAAGTGAGCTTCCACGTAGCCCCATACGTTCTCAGGGAGGTATCGAGCTGTGTGCACGTCTGCTGACCCGTCTGCTGGCCCGTCTGCTGCGCTAATGAGGCCTCTTGATTTTCCAGCTGCTGCTGCTGCTGTTGCTGCTGGTGCTGGCGATGCTGCTGCTGGAAGTGACGCGATGGCTTCTTGTATAGTCACACCACTGAACAATAGAAAAGAAGAAAGCGCAAGGAGGAAGGCATTGGTTGGGGGGGACTATGGGGATTCAACGTACCCCAACACATTCACAAACTCACTGGCTGTCCTTCATCTGAAGCATATCAGGCGAGAGCGTCCCTGCGATCGCTCTGCTGCCCAGGAAGGTCGACTGGAATCGCATGCACTCCTCGTCACTAAACGTGAGAATCTCCACGGGAAGAGGCAGCGCCGCCGCGTCACACCCATCGACCCATCCTGTTCCCACACCAACACAGATGCACACACACTCACTGGTTGTCCTTCATCTGCAGCATATCAGGCGAGAGCGTCCCTGCGATTGCCCTGCTCCCCAGGAACGTTGACTGAAATCGCATGCCCTCCTCGTCGCTGAACGCGATGATCTCCACGGGGCGAGGCAGCGCCGCCGCCCCGCACGCTGTGAGGAACAGCTTGACCGCAGCAATGGCCGTTACCACGCCCAACGCGCCGTCGAACCGACCCGCGTCAACAACCGTGTCCTGGGACGGCGCGGGGGTGATGGCAGGGAGAGGAGAGAGAGGGGAGGGGAGAACGAGAGACGGGCGTTGGTGATGTTTAGAAGGTGGAATGGCGAACAGGCCGGCACACCCCATCTTAACGATACTAACACCACGCTTTACCGACAGATGCGGCTTACCAGGTGCGAGCCGAGCAGCAGCACGGGCGCGTCGGGATGCGGTCCGTCGACGCGGCCGTGCACGTTGCCAACCGCGTCCATCCACGTGTACAAGCCGGCCTCCTCCATCCAATCGCTGACAAGCGCCGCGGCGCGCATCGACGCGTCGCTGAGAAACGTGCGCTGCAAGTGATGCGTCGAGTCGCTCACGTCTCCCAACTGGTCGAGCCTGCGAACCACCTCATCCTTTAATATCGCCTCCGCAACTTCCGCTGCCACTGCGTCGCCGCACGCCAGCCGGGATTCGACCAGCAACTCCTCGTCGGGTGAGCGCGACGCCAGCTGACCTTTGATTTGAGTGTCGTTGCCAGTTTCTGCGAATTCGGTAACGATAAGGTAGGGTCACAAATTAAAAGGGTAACGAGGAAACGGCCATGACGAGAGGGGAGAAGGATTTAAACGAGGGTTCTGCCTTCCGAAAGGGCGTTGTCCCTTTCGAATCAATTCTGACCAACCGTGTATGGGATGACACACAGAACGGAGATGCATGTAGTAAACGCGGCGTACCATGGCTTGAAAGGTTGCACCGTTCCGAGATTTCGGGGAGATGAGTTAAATTCACGGGGACAACGATCGGCGTCGCGTTAACGTCGACAACAGAAGCTGGAACGTCAATCAGTGGTACATCGATTGTTGACGCGATGGTCGCTGCTCTCTCTAGCCCCTTGGCGTTCGGTCCATCTAATCTAGAAGATTCAAGTTGAAGGTTGTCTGCTGCGAGACACGTGGCATGCAAGTGGTGAAGGGATATCAAGCAGCAGAGGCCTATGGCCAGAGTGTGAAACAGAGCCGTTTTGAGATTCATGCTGTTTTCCTAGAAGTAGAATACGAAATTTATGTACCAACAAATACCAAGCCTTTCAGAATCACGGATCGCCTTCGGCCTCAAGTACGTGCGAATAGGAGCTCTGACAAGTGTCAAAACAGAAGCAACAATGAGCAGTCTAGGATAGAAGTTCTAGAATGAGCTTCAAACAGAGCCTGGGATTGAGCTTCATCCAGACAGACTTCAGGAAGAGAAGTCAGCCGCACAGCTCCTTTGCCATGATCAGAGCTTTGGAAATGACCTCGCTATCGACGGGATGTGTAGCGTTTGGCTACGTTAATAAGTGGTGAAATAGTTTGAATTAGGGAAACGTAGGTGTCCACCACGATGGTTCGTGAATTGCTTTCGAAGGCACCGCGGCTCCATGCCAAACCTGCCAAGTCCCACAACGACCTCCGCCAATCACATGCATGGACCATTATTTGTCATGCGGTATGGTCGTTGCGGGTGCAGGGTGGTGGTGGTGGCTGGTGGGGGTGAGCGAGCAGGCGACGCGCAGTGACCCCGTTCGGCAGGCCAGGGTGGTTGTCGCAGAGACCGAAGCGGAATGACGAACCTGCCGCCAGCGCTCCTTGGATTTGGTTCGCTGGTGGCTTGTGGTTGGATAACCTTTTGCGGCTGCCCGCCGTTCATGGGGTTGTTGGGTGTGTCGCTCCCGCCAGATGCTGAAGGTCGTGGCTTGTCACCGTCGATATTGCTCATGTATTCACGCTTCCGCGGATCTCTCACCTTCATCGAACTCCCTTAACCCCAAGTCCTGAGTCCTGACCGACTTTGATCAGCCAATGCACGAGCGCAGGAATTCGAGGGATGTGATGTTCGCGAATCAACAGCCAACAATGTGAACTCGAAGGTCCAGGTGGAAATTTCAAGGAATCATGCTTTGCCACGCAAACTTTCGCGGCACTTTAAGCCAATCATGGGCTGAAGGCTAATAGCCAATGGTAGCCGGCGACGCCGTGGTGAAAAAACAGGCCCCAGATTGTGGGTCATCCTTGAAATAGCGTTGGTAAAAACACTTTCAGATATGTTTCTGTACAAGAGTAGAATGAAATGCGCCATAAACCACCTCAGCTTGCTCGATTAAGCCATAAACTGCATCGTACAACATATACATCTGAACAGGTTCTACTACACTTGGGAAATCCAATTTTAATAAATAGCATGGAGAAATTCCCACCAGGAAACACTCTTCACATGTCACACCACCACCCTTTCCCCTGCTCCTCCCACTCTCCCCCACCCCCAATAACACCTACACAGCTTTATTTTTGCTTCCTCTCCCCCACAGCACCACCATCGATCCCCTCCTTTTCAGCTGCTGCTAAAAGCTTTCCATATCCCGTGCTCCAATACACCCAGTCAGTGAGCCACACAGGAGCAAACCACACCATCGCCATCACAGTGGGCCAGAGTTCTCCGGCAAAAAGGCGGCAGGGAGGGTTGGGGGAAAGCGAGGCGTTGGCGATCAGAGAAACGAGTTGGGAAGGGGGAGACATGACCACTGTATGGGGCAGGCAAGCCATTTTATCTCTGCTTCCTCTCCCCCGCATCAGCAATCCGCTTCTTCTTCTCAGCTGCTGCTAAAAGCTTTCCATATCCCGTGCTCCAATACACCCAGTCAGTGAGCCACACAGGAGCAAACCACACCATCGCCATCACAGTGGGCCAGAGCTCTCCCGCAAAGAGGCGCCAGGGAGGGTTGGGGGAAAGCGAGGCGTTGGCGATCAGAGAACCGAGATGGGAAGGGGGGGTCATGGCCGTTGTATGGGGCAGGCTTGCCATTTTGTCAATGTTGACTTGGCAGGGAGCGTAAGGGCTGGTGGGTGGCAGCTGGACGGATATCTGAGGGGCTTTGCTGCAAGCAGGGAGAAAAAAAGGATGATGCCATTACTATCGAAGCTTGCGAAAGGGTGTCTTCTTCTTCTTCTTTCTTCTTTCTTCTTCTTCTTCTTCTTCTTCTTCTCTTCTTCTTCTTCTTTCTTCTTTTTCTTCTTCTTCTTTCTTCTTCTTCTTCTTCTTCTTCCTCCTCCTCCTCCTCCTCCTCCTCCTCCTCCTCCTCCTCCTCCTCCTCCTCCTCCTCCTCCTCCTCTCCTCCTCCTCCTCCTCCTCCTCCTCCTCCTCCTCCTCCTCCTCCTCCTCCTCCTCCTCCTCCTCCTCCTCCTCCTCCTCCTCCTCCTCCTCCTCCTCCTCCTCCTCCTCCTCCTCTCCTCCTCCTCCTCCTCCTCCTCCTCCTCCTCCTCCTCCTCCTCCTCCTCCTCCTCCTCCTCCTCCTCCTCCTCCTCCTCCTCCTCCTCCTCTCCTCCTCCTCCTCCTCCTCCTCCTCTCTCTCTCTTCTCTCTTCTTCTTCTTCTTCTTCTTCTTCTTCTTCTTCTTCTTCTTCTTCTTCTTCTTCTTCTTCTTTCTTCTTCTTCTTCTTCTTCTTCTTCTTCTTCTTTTTTTTTTTTTTTTTTCTGCAGAAATGTTGGTGAATTTGCTGAAAGTACATTCTTCCGCCACACTCACCCAAAAAGCTCAGTCTTGATAAGCCCGGGAGTCGCAAGCACAACCTTTATTCCGAAGGGCTTCATCTCCATGCGCATGCAGTTGGTTGCTGCTGTCAGGGCTGCCTTGGACGCTGAATACACAGCACCCATGGGCCTGCCATGGAGATTGTGGGAGAGGCAGGGGGGTCCAGAGGGAAGGGCTTCGTCTCCATGCGCATGCAGTTGGTTGCTGCTGTCAGGGCTGCCTTGGACGCTGAATACACAGCACCCATGGGCCTGCCATGGAGATTGTGGGAGAGGCAGGGGGGTCCAGAGGGAAGGGCTTCGTCTCCATGCGCATGCAGTTGGTTGCTGCTGTCAGGGCTGCCTTGGACGCTGAATACACAGCACCCATGGGCCTGCCATGGAGATTGTGGGAGAGGCAGGGGGGTCCAGAGGGAAGGGCTTCGTCTCCATGCGCATGCAGTTGGTCGCTGCGGTCAGGGCCGCCTTGGATGTCGAATACACAGCGCCCATGGGCCTGAGATGGCGCATGGGATGAGAGTACGGCGAGAGGAGGCAGGGAAGTTTGGGCGGGGAATGGAGTGCTTCATCTCCATGTGCATGCGGTTGGTTGCTGCTGTCAGTGCAGCCTCGGATGCCGCATACACTGCACCCATAGGCCTGTCACAGCATCAGCATTTTCTGTAAAGGCCCCGTTATACTCTCAATGCCTGGTACCCAAGAACGCTCGATATATTCACAATGCAACCGCACCGCTTCTCAGCCATATGGGGAAACACGGCCTTGGACATGGCCACTGCTCTCAACAGATTGGTCAGATCACCATGGCTTTAGAACAGCCCTTAAACCCCACCGTTATACTCACAATGCCTGGTATCCCAGGATGCTCGACATATTCACAATGCGCCCGCTCCGCCTCTCAGCCATGTGGGGAAACACAGCCTGTGCCAAAGCCACTGCCCCCAGCAGGTTGGTTTCAAAGCCTTGGCGCCAGGAGGAGAGAGGGAGGTCCGCCACGGGCCCCATTATAAGCACTCCCGCGTTGTTCACCAGAATGTCGATCTGCCCGGCGCTCTTTACAATCACATCCACTGCAGACTGCAAGAAAGGGGGGAAGGAGGAGCGGAAGCACGTGGGAAGGAGGAGGGGGGTGGAGTTGGGGAGAACGAATAGGGGATGTGAAGAGGGGGGAAGGAGTATGAAAGGAAAGAACGGTTGGGACAATTGGGGGAGGATGAACATAGGGAAGGGTATAAACAAGACAACTGCAAGCGAACCTTAATATCACCCTCTTTAGTCACATCCAGCTTCAATGTATTCACGCCCTGCTCTTGCAACCCTTCCATGGCATCTACCGACCGCGCCGTCGCAAACACCTTGGCACCCCTCCGTGCATATTCCCTGGTCGTGTGGAGAGAAGAGGGGAGGGGGAGAGGAGGGGGAGGGGAGGAGGGGAGGGGGAGAGGAGGGGGAGGGGAGGAGGGGATGGGGAGAGGAGGGGGAGGGGGAGAGGAGGGGAGGGGAGGAGGGGAGGGGGAGAGGAGAGGGGCGATGGGAGGAATGGCAGCTTCACTGAATTCACGCCTTGCTCCTCTAGCCCCTCTATCGCCTCTACCCGCCGTGCATAGTCCCTGGTCGTGGGGGGAGTGAGGAGGGGAGGGGGAGGAGTGGGTGGGCTGGAGGGGATGAGGGGCGATGGGAGGAATGGCAGCTTCACTGTACTCACGCCCTGCTTCTGCAGCCCTTCCATCGCCTCTACCCTCGGCGCTGTTGCAAACACCCCTGCCACGAAAACTCTCTGAGGAGTGGGAGGGGAGAGAATGAGGACAGGAGGGGAGGGGAAGGAAAAAAGGGGTGAGGGGCGGTGAAGGGCGATTGGAGGCATGTGCTATGGGAGGAATGGCAGCTCCACTGTACTCACGCCCTGCTCCCACAGCCCCTCCATCGCCTCTACCCGCCGAGGCGCCTCAAAAACACTCTATTTTCACGTTTGATGGGCAGGGGGATAGCGGTGTGTACAATGGGCAGGGCGATAATGGTATGTACAATGGGCAGGGGGAATGCGAGCGAGAGAGGGAATGGGAGTGAGAGGGGGAATGGGAGCGAGAGGAGGAATGGGAATGAGAGGGGAATTTGAGCGAGAGGGGGAATGCGAGTGACAGAAAGAAGGAATTTGTTACAGCGGGCCTGCTGGGTGGACTTTGAGAATTCTCAAAAGCTACACTAGCATATCGGAATCCTAATGTCGGGTTCCTAAGCACACGAAGAACCCCCGGAGACTAGGTAAATGAGAAAGCATACTCTGCTAGCGCGTAACCAATCCCCCTTTAGAGCATCCCGTTATAGCGACAACTTTCCCGTCCCCGCGATGCTGCTTCGGCCGGCCGAGAATTCCTCCCATTGTTGATACGGACGCAGGAGATAATTGTAGTTTGTGAGTATAATAACATGCGACCCGCAGGTTATGCGGTACGTTGCCGTTCGCTAGCTATCACCCCGCATTTGGCGCGAGCGCTAGCTAATGCGAACCGCATCTGGCTTTCTGATCCTGAGATGTGAAGGAACGCCTTTCTAGTCCCCCCAATAGTTTCCAACCCCTACCAACTACGGTTCTGTTCGTTCTGTTGCATTCCAAATGGGTAAAATACCTTTTTCCAAACAGAAAATGGCGGGAAACCAACTGCACCTCACTGTTAGTTGAGAAGGTGGAGGTTTGTCAATCAGTTGGGTTTGACGTGTTACTGATTTCGCTCAGTTTGTGCGACGATGGTAACAGAACAATGCAATTTCGACATGGAACAAGAACCGAAGATGGCTGGGTTTGTGTCCAAACCTGACCAGGTCAGGATATCCAAGCCTAAACATCCTCTATCACCAGCGAAGAATGCCGAGCCGAGCCGATGTCCGAACCGGCAGACAAAAGCATCCAGGGAAACTCGAAGCGATGGGGATGAATGTACAGTCTGAATGTGCGCGCAAGGGAGGAAGGGAGAAGGGGCCAACATCATAGACATGCAAATTAGTCTGGTAACCCTATTCGATGGTATGCAAAACCGTCGATACCCCAGTTCTGCTGCGCAAAATTGTCTGGTAGCGCCACTCAAAACACTGTGTAACAGCTGACGCAGCACAGAAAAGGAAGAAAATATGGGATTGAATCAGTTGCGTTTTCGATTTCGTATCGTCGTGGTTCTTACCGCGTCTTGTTCGGCGCCTAACAAATATTCCTGCCGGCTACTATTTTCCGCTAAATGTGACGAAAAATCCACTGGAATGAAAGGCTACGGGGTCCATTTCGATAACATTAATTTGGACCAATATATTGCTACCGGGAAATGTAGGGGCAGGGCAGAAAAACAATAAAACCCCTAGGGACCTGGACGCATTTCTGGGAGGGATCAACCCTAAACACGGGAAAGGACATTGTTTTTAGGGTTGATGCCTCCCTGACGCATCCCTTTCCGATCGGGTTTTATTTTTTTCTTGGCCCGAAGAAATCACGTCTTAGCGCGAAGGCAAGCGCGGTAAAGATCAAATTTGAATTAAAAACGAACGTGCTTTCAGGGCAGCATGTCAATAACTTGCAAACAGAGGTAAGACGGTTTTGCATACCATTGGACAGGGTTACCACACTAATTTGCATATCTATGATGTTGGCCCAAGGGAGAAGATCAACGAGGGGCCGAACAGTGCCAGAGGGGTGATCAACCAGGGGCCGAGAGGCCCGGAACTTACCAAACCGCTGCGTAAAGAGTTTTTAACAGAGGGTCTTCCCTTATTGCGCAAATTTATGTTAGTAGTGGAATGTACCAGCTCGCATTTTTGCTCGTGTGTCGTTTAGCGAGCCGACTCCACTGGGAATCCTTAGGGCAGCCAAAATAACTAAAACTCATAGAAAACCTGCATGCATTTTCGAGATGGATCAACCCTTAAAACGAAAAAACTTCCTGGTATTTAGGGTTGATGCCTCCCGAGTCGCATCCCTTTCCGAGTGGGTAAAATATTTTTTTTTTCTTGTGCGTTTTCACTTCACTGAAACGCCAAGCTCCCCGCCATGGCTCCTAAGATAACTTCAAGTCGTGCAATATCAAGCTAATCTTTATCAGCTTCAAGATCTGAATACATATTTTGGGTCTACTCACCAAGGGCTTGATCTCGACACCACTTTATGTTCAGACAGAGAACATCGGTTCGTCGTGACTTTCTCTTGTGAAGATCTGTTTTCAGGTTCTTAAACTGGTTTTAAGCTCAAGACATTTAGTTACTCTAAGGAAGCTAGAATGGCCAGACTAAGCACAAGTCATCAGCGAAGCTGGAAACTGGAAAGCAACATAGACACAAGACATGAGAAGAAAAAGTACAAGGCAGCTGGACCGCCAAATATTTTTTGCCTATCAATCTTCTCTGCCATTCTTCAACGAGAGACAAGGAATGAAACGTCTCGTCAGCCGTGGACATGTTTATTACCACCATCAAGAGCGACTAAATCCGGATGAGCGATGGTTTCTGGTAAGACAGGGTATACATCCTGTTTGCAGCAAACGCAAAGTGATCTAAAATGGCTCCCGCGAATGGCAACAAATGCAACACTTTCTGCCTTCCTACGTCATTCAGAAGCAGGAGCTTCACGCTCGTCACGGCAACGCACGACAAGGAAGATCTACGAATCTGAATCAAGATCATGTTCCAAACAATCGACTCAGACCATAGCAGCTCAAGAACTACCAATATTCTGAATGGCTTCACTATCTAATCAGGAAGAAGTTTTCTCTATATCTCTTGGCGACGACTTATGGCAACATGATGCTGACATGAAGAAGCATAACATGGTGGATTCTACAAAAGAACATTTTCAGGATAAGCCTATGTCAATGGAGGAAACAGGGCTATGGCGCCACGTTATGACTGGGGTGTGTGAAGCTACTCCAGTTATCTTCCCTCAGACAGTGGGGGTTGCCCCAAGCACACAGCTCACGCAACTGCCTGACATAGGGGGCTTTGACGTACCGGGCACAGCTGCTAGGCAGCAACTTCGAACCAGGGCAGTTTCCGCTCTCCCAACCCAACCCCACCACTTCCGACGAATCAGATTTGGAGCGAAAGGACCAAGACTGAACATCCGTCACAAAAGTCCCGCTCGGCAGAAATTCAGAATCAGGGTTTCTCTTGTTGGAACCCAACCTTTTTGCAAGGCACGGCAGAGCAGCCTCGGTGCGAGCTCTTCCAAGTTGAAGTAACAGATACAGAACCTGGAACCTACCGAGGCGCTTCTGCCAGAGTTGAAGTGCGGCAACGGCATAGTAGAATTTTGTGGCGGGCAAGTTGAAGTTTTTAGGCGTTTGGTCTATAAGCCTCCGTAGATATCTGGGAGGGTACGGTATACACTACCTATGCCCTCTAGCTCCGGTTACGACCGACGGTGTTTTGCGTTGTACGTTGTATAATGCATTTTTTACCTAAAAAAAAAATATAATGTGTTATGCGTACTCGCGATTCGACACGCCGAATTAAACTTCCAGAAGAAGGCGACGCGCGCGTTGTAGTAGACGGAGGTCGAAATCCAAAAAAACAAATCGAACACAGTTTTCGGTTTTTCTCGCAAACCTCTCTACTTACGGTTCGGCGTATTCCCCTAGTCGCTTGGGCAGCTCTGGGTTGAAATCCTACGTTCGAGATTTACTGGCCCTACTTTGATCACCCTTCTAGCACTGTTCGGCCCCTGGTTGATCTTTTCCCAGGGAGGAACCCCTAGCTGTCACACAACATACGATTGGGAAATCCCCGCTCGCACTGCCACAGGTCGAGGCTTTGTCGATCTCTGATTTGCCCCCCTTCTCATTGGTCCAGAATTTGAAAAAAATACGCGACTCGACAGTTTTCGGATTTGTGTCAATCCGGTCGACCACTCGTGCACCACGTCAGCACTATTTCAAATTCCAAAACTCCGATCGATCGACCCTTTTTCTACACTTGCAAGCGCGAATTGGTCACTCTGTCGCGAGAGTTACTGCAGCGTCAGGGTTCCTCGACATTCGTAGGTTCCAATGTGGGTGGTAGAGTCTGTCGCGTTTTGCAGAGTAAGATTACGCTTGTCAGCCTAGTATATCTCAACGGAATGTGGCAGGCGAGGAAACGACAAACAAGAAAATACAAAACGACAAATTGCCTGGGGCAAAAAAAACTAAACCCCAGATGGACGGCATGCCATTCGGGAGCCTCAACCCTTAAATTTTAGGGTTTAGGCTCCCGAATGGCATGCCGGTGGCTATGTGGTTTAGTTTTTTTCTGCCCGGTTCAGGGTGACACTCCCGAAAGCGTCACCCCCGAGCGTCACCCCAGGCAAAACGGAGCGTCATCCCCAATTCCGTTGGAGTCTGCCGCGTTTTGCAGAGTAAGATTCCGCGTGTCAGTAGGTGCGATGTGTCTACAATGATTACGCGCATCTGTTGGCCTCAGCAAGTTGAACGTTTCAGTGCAAGTTGCCCTCTGATGGGGTTGCGAAATGTTAGAGAGCCTAAACCAAACCAACTCCGACAAAGTTACATACCTGTGGTGACACACTCAACACCAACCAATAAACATTAACAATACCGCATAATATATTGTAGGGTCGATCGGAGTTTTGGAATTCGAAATAGTGCTGACGTGGTGCACGAGTGGTCGACCGGATTGACACAAATCCGAAAACCGTCGAGTCGCGTGATTTCTCCCCAGAATTTGTTTGCTGCAAACGAGCGACCTTTTCCAGTCGGCCGAGACAAGCAGTCCGCGAGTCAGTCCGCGAGTCAGTCCGCGCACTGCACAAGTGCGGCTGAGTGTGGTTCGCTGGGTTCTAGGGCGTTTGAGTGCGTTAAATAGCAACTTTTCAGGTTAGGCCAGCGTTTTGACTTGCAGGTTCAATGCCGTTCCCCCACGAGATGAGTGCGGTGTACAGCTTGATCAGATTCTTGGGAGTTCCATCAAGCGTGTGCAGTCACGAGCGCTTTTGATTCGGGAATCAATGATTGTTCTGGCAGGTGAGCTTCGGTTCAAAACGGTAAACACATTGAGCGCTCTGAACAGTAGAGAAACGCACTCGAACCGTTTGTACCGAAAAGAAGGCGAAACCCCTTCGCCACGCTTCGGAACTGCCAAAACCAGAAGTCTTCACTCTCTCCACTCTCGACTCTCGACTGCTTGCTGGAAAAGTTGCATAAAACATACCACCTGGCACACACGCAATGGTGCTTGCTTCTTCCATTGTCGCTACTCCGACTTTGATCTCCCCCATGGATCACAACGATAGATCACCCAGGAAATGCCGTTTGCTAGCGGAAGCCCTCTGCGACCATGTTCCCGCGGCTTGCCTCTCAGCAGATGGCCTGATCGTCGAAAGCAGGTAGAGTATTCGGGTGAACTTTTTGGATTGAAACATCGAAAAATATTGAAATCAAGCGCAAGTTGGAAGATAATACGTGTCGCATCCCGCTTCTTAAGAGGAGGCTTCCAGCGATCTGAGCATCGAGTCGCTTCACAAAGAGTGACGCAGTGTAATGCGTCGCGTCGCGTCCCGTGCCTGTGCAGCGCTGCTAGGATCGCGCGCGGGAAGCCGCTCTCCAGCGTGCTCATCTCAAGACCTTTGACGCAGAAACAACATGAAATGCAATGCATCACCTCCCGCCGTGCCTGATGCGCAGCGCTGCCATGCGCGCGTCGCTCTCGCCAAGTCATGGCGAGCCAAGAATCATTCTGTTAAAAAACTCAGAATGGCATTTTCGTTCTTCATTTTTATTGTCATGCCTGTGCGCCCCCGTGCATGCTTGTGCAGCGCTGCCTTGCGCGCGTCGCTGTCGCCAAGCCATGGCGAGCAGGAGCTTCTGCACCGACCGTTCCTGGAGCTGATTCACGATGACGACCGGGGCGCGTTTCAGGTATGCCCACCGCCACCACATGTTGTACCCGTTACAGTTCGTTTCGTTTCTGTCATGTTGGCGAGCAGGAGCTTCTACACCGACCGTTCCTGGAGCTGATTCACGATGACTATTGGTGCGCGTCTCAGGTCAGCGAACCACCACCACTCAACCGCAATGATGCATGCTATCGCATTTTCAAGTCATAATGTCGTAATCGTCAGTCCCTGGAGCTGATTCACGAAGACGACCGGAGCGTGTTTCAGGTCAGCCCACCACCACTTGTTACCAGTGAGCATGCTGTACTCGTTACAATTCGTTTCGTTCCTGGAGTCCATCCACGTTGATGTCCACGCTTTGCAGGTAGTATGAAAACGCCACGTCACTTATGGTCTGTTAGTCACAAGCGCGCTTTCCGTCCACTTTGCTCTTGAGGTGACGTTTTAGTTCACTCCACTCATACCGGTACATACCGAGCGCGTCTCGCCCGTTCACTTCTAAACCAGCTTTATTGCTTACTTTTACTTACCATTGGATTTATCCCAGGGCTATATGGTACAGACCCATGCTCTTAACGCGGACAACAAAGCCACCGCGCTGGAAGTTCGGCTTCGGAGCACCGTCAGCTGTAACAGCTGTCATGACAGCACCAGCAGTAGCAGCAGCCGTGCACCTGGCGGCTGTAGCAGCAGTCATGGCAGTTCTGATGGCAGCATCGGATCAGATGGGCGGTTCAGATGGTTCGAGGTGCGGCTGACTCCGATCAGGATGGGTTCGGGTCAATGCAGTGGCAAGAACCCTCTGCTATGCACACTGCACGGCATCTCCAAGTGGAAAGACAAACAGGTAAAGGGTTTGCTTTGGTAAAGGGTTTGCTTTTGGATCAACTGCATGTCACATAAAGGGTATGCGCAGGGAATACGTTCAGGAAGTGCTCCAGGAAGTGCTCTCCGCTGCTCTGGAGGGGTGCTTCTCCGCTGCTACTGGCCAATTTATAAGACGCCTCATAAAACTTTCCCTGCACTTCTTCCTCTCTTTTCTACTCAAGAAGTGCTCTCTGCTGCTCTGGAGGGGTGCTTCTCCGCTGCTCAGCTGCCAGCCCAGCCCCCTGTGGCTGCCGATTTGCTTTGCAGCAGCCTCTTCTCACCTCAAGAAATCGTGCTGTTCTCTCCTCTATTCTCTTCCCTCCAGGAAGCGTTCTCTGCTGCTCTGGAGGGTTGCTTCTCCGCTGCTCAGCTGCCACCCCAGCCCCCTGTGGCTGCAGCTGCTGCAGCTGTACTCGCTATAGAGAAGGAGCTGGACTCGTTAGTGGAGAGGCTGAAGGCGCTGGAGGCGAGAATCCGCGAAGGCGTGTACAACGGGAAGTTCAAGCGGATATTCGAGATATCTATGGATCCAATATTTATAATTGGAGGCGATAGGCTGATACACGACTGTAACGAGGCTGCAGTGCGCATGCTGGGGCACCAATCAAATGCCGCCATCTGTCACAAGCTCAGCCCCGCTGACATAGCTTCTTCATTTTCTGCTAAATGCATTTTGTTACCCCGCACTTCTTAGCATTTTTAACCTCTATACAATATAAAGGAAAAAAAAAACTAACAAAAAACAAAAAAAAACTAAATAATGTTAAACAACCAAAGCAAAAGAAAAAAGAAAAAAAATAAGAAAAAAGAAAAAAAATAAGAAAAACACCTGAGAAAGAAATAACAAAAGAAATTAAGAGAAGAAATTGGCCGTGCCGTAGGATTTGCGGGGAGAATTCTGAATAAATCTATAACACCTGAGGTTGCAGTTCAAGCTCGAGGTATTGGCGATTCAATTAGTAGGCCTTCTAGACCCAAATCATCGCCTGTTTTTCATCCTAAAGGTCCTGACAAAGGAACTTTAGGATGATAATAATGTAAGGCCCTAAAGCTTATCGTAATTTTGCAACTTCTATCGACACAATTTGGTTGTTTTAGACCAATAGTTCATCTCCGTTCAAAGCTGTAAAAGCTCACAGGCATCTTGTTAAAGAAGCAGCTAAAACATCAGAAAAACTATTGGATGAAATGCTAGAACAATCTAAAGTTTACCTAGAACCACTATCAGAGAAAGTAGAAAAAATAAAGCAAGAAGCTGAAAGGGCAAAAGAATTAAGAGAAGAAATTGGCCGCGCCGTAGGATTTGCGGGGAGAATTATGAATAAATCTATAACACCTGAGGTTGCTGTTCAAGCTCGAGGTATTGGCGATTCAATTAGTAGGCCTACTAGACCCAAATCATCGCCTGTTTTTCATCCTAAAGGTCCTGACAAAGGAACTTTAGGATGATAATAATGTAAGGCCCTAAAGCTTATCGTAATTTTGCTTTTTTTTTTTTCTTATTTTGTTTTTGCCTTCTCCCCGGAGGTCCAGCCGGGCGGCGAGCGGACGGCGGATAAGATGGTGCGATTCGTGGAACCACTGCTGCGGGGAGAGGCATCCATCGACGAGTGGTGGCACTATGACACTCGAGGGGAGCTGTTCCCTGTGCTGGTGAAGGTGCAGGTGCGTGCGAAGGTGGGGAGAGAGGGGCGAGGGGTTGGGAAGGGGTGAGTAAGTGCAGGAGCGTGTAGCTATTTCCTGGGGTACAGCTGAGGAGGGGGAGAGTTGAGAGAGAGAAGGCGAGCGGACGGCCCCTGATTTCAATGCGCCTCGTAAGATGGTGTGACTCGTGGAGCTGCTGCTGCAGGGAGAGGCGTAGATTGATGAGGGGTGGCATTGTGATGCCCGAGAGGAGCTGTTTCCCGTTCTGGTGAAGGTGCAGGTGCGTGAAACCTCACCAGTTATGACAGTTATGAGAGGGGGTGGTGACAGTTATGGGCCGTTGCTGCGGGGAGAGGTGGCTCTGTGATACCCGAGGGGAGCTGTTCCCTTTGCTGGTGAAAGTGCAGGTGCGTGAGAGGTTGAAGAGAAATGATAGGAGAGGGGAGAACCGGTGTGTGCGTGGAACGCCCCCTCTTCTTCCTCCCTGCTTCTCACCCTCCTTCCATTCATGCAGCGTACACCGTTTCTGAGCGAGGAGCATCTGGGGAGGTGGTATCTCTGTGGCATGATCCGCCGGGGATGAAGCGACATGAGGAACAACCATTCCCTGTGCCCCCTAACCTTCCTACCCCTCCCAGTTCCTGAGCGAGGAGCATCCGGGGGAGGTGGTATCTGTGTGGCATGACCTGCGGGAGACGAAGCGGCATGAGGAGGAGCTGAGGCAGGCCAAGGAGGTGGCAGAGGCGGCGAGTCAAGCCAAGAGCCAGTTCCTGGCGAACATCAGCCATGAGATCCGCACGGCCATGAATGGTGAGCAGTGAGGGGTGAGAGGTGAGGAGGAGTGAGTGGGGCTCCATGAGGGGAGAAGGCGAGTCAGGCCAAGAGCCAGTTCTTGTGAACATCAGCCATGAAACCTGCACACGTGTGGATGGTATGGTGCGTGCACGTGGGATTGCTGGGGGTAGCGGAGCTGCTACTACAAACGCCTCTAACCACCGAGCAGCAGCAGTACTGCGAGGTGATCCGCTCGTCGGGAGACAGCCTGCTGCACATCACACCATGCCAGCCATCGCCCCTCCCCCACTTCCCTCCTCCCCCCCATTGCCCTCCCCCACTTCCCTCCCTCCCCCCATTGCCCTCCCCAACTTCCCTCCCTCCCCCAATTGCCCTTCCCCACTTCCCTCCCTCCCCCCATTCACCCCGGTGTGCTGGGAGTGGCGGAGCTGCTGATGCAAACGCCTCTGAACCCCGAGCAGCAGCAGTACTGCGAGGTGATTCGCTCGTCGGGAGACAGTCTGCTGCACATCATATCGAATGTACTCCCACCCTCTCCCCTCTCTCCCCCTTCGCCCTACATTCCCCCAGGTGTGCTGGGAGTGGCGGAGCTCCTGTTACAAACGCCATTGACAGCCGAGCAACAGCAGTACTGTGAGGTGATTCGCTCGTCGGGAGACAGCCTGCTGCACATCATATCGGACGTACTCGATATAAGCAAGATCGAGGCACGGTCGCTAGCGCTCGAGTCGATTCCGTTCCACCTGCAGCAGACAGTAGAGGACGCTGTGGCTGCTGTTGCTGTGCTGGCACGGCAGAAAGGGCTCAAGGTGAGTGGAAACGAGTGTGGCTGAGTGTGATCGAGGAAGGTTGAGTGCGGTTGAGTCGATTCCGTTTCGGCTGCAGCAGACAGTTGAGGACGCTGTGGCTGCTGTTGCTGTGCTGGCACGGCAGAAAGGGCTCAGGGTGAGCGGGAGTGAGTGTGGCTCTAAGTTGGAATATACGCGTTTCGCGTTTTGTACGCATGCGTGTATACGCTAGAGTATAATACGCAATACGTCCAGAGAGGATGTTGATATACGCTTGAAATACGGAGGGGCGGGCAGCGTAAAAACTTTTCCGGGCAGGGTAAAATACCGATTTCTAGCGAGGGGAGGGGGATATGCACCCACACTTATCTCTTCCTGTTTTTTTTGGAATGGGATTTCTCGCGGATATATGCGGAAGTGCCTGAAATTGAAATGATCGCTATCTTCCTAAAACACCATCGCGGTGGAACCTTCCGCGGACGCAATTCGAACGTACGTGCACTCACTAGAGTGCTTGAGAGGGTAGATATGGCTGCAGCGGATTAAGCTTAGCGCATGTTATTGAAAGCGATGTGTCGTCAACTACGAAAATGGAGACAGCGTAGGTTGCTTCAGGCTCGCCTTGTATTCGTGCGTGCATGCTGTGCGTGGATTTCTTGGTGGGGATGGGTAGGTTGGATCTGAGAGGTATGTTGGGATTCAAAGCGGTTGAAAACTTTTGAACTCCAAATTTGGGAGCCAAAATTGAGTTGGCGATGTTCCTCACAAATTGTTCCGCATCGCAACTCGCAATTCCTATTTTTAGTTTTTTTTTTTCGACGGGCTGCCCGCCCGAAATCCGAGCGTATTTCTAGCGTTTTGCGTTTTTACGTATATACGCCAGCGTACAAACGCAATACGCCTTGCCAGCCGAGCGTATATTCCAACTTAGGTGTGGCTTAGTGCGGTTGGGTGGGGCTGAGAGTGCGATGGAGTGAAGCGGCAGTGAGTGTGATTGAGTGCGGTTGGGTGGGGCTGAGTGCGATTGAGTGAAGCGAGAGTGTCAATGGCACGGCAGAAAGGGCTCAGGTGAGTGGGAATGAGTGTGGTTGAGCAAGGTTTCGTGCCGGCTAATGGAACCCCTCTCCTCCTTATCTCTCATCCGTGCAGCTGGAGGTTTAGATGCCCTCGTCCCTCTCCTCCTTATCTCTCATGCCATTGCAGCTGGAGGTGGAAATGGATGGCTCTGTGCCTCGCTGCATAGTTGGAGACCCCTCTTGTCTGCGCCAATTGCTGCTCAATCTCCCCTTAGCCTGCTCTCCTTCCGGCACCCCTCATCCCCCCCCCCCCACCTCTCATGCGTGCAGTTGGAGGTGGAAATGGATGGCTCTATGCCTCGCTGCATGGTGGGAGACCCCTCTCGCCTGCGCCAGGTGCTGCTCAATCTCCTCTCCAACGCCATCAAGTTCACCCACCAGTCAGTGCTCTCCCTTCCCCTCTTCTCACCCCCTTATCTACCTCCTCCTCTCCTCTTATCTCCTCCCCCCCTTCCCACTTGAACCCTCTTAATCTGCTCTCCAACGCCATCAAGTTCACCCATCAGTAAGTGCTCTCTCTATCTCTCTTCCCCTCTTCTCACCCCCTTATCTACCTCCTTCTCTCCTCTTATCTCCTCCCCACTTCCCACTTGAACCCTCTTAACCTGCTCTCCAAAGCCATCAAGTTCACCCACCAGTCAGTGCTCTCTCCCTCCCTCCTCTCATTTCATTTCTTCCTCCTCTCCTGGCATCTCCTCCCTCCTCCCATATCCTTCTCCCCTCCCCTCTTCTCATCCGTTGTCTGCTTCAACTCTCTTTTCCCTCTCCCACGCCATCAAGATCACCCAATCGCACACACGGACAAACGAAACGCCCCATTCATGAGACAACGATCCCTGTTGCCTCACCCAACAATGATCAGGGGATTTGTGAAGCTCCGGGTTTTCACATCGAACGTCAAAGCAGAGGAAGGCTCTAAGGACCGTGCAGCAGCGGCAGCAGCAGCAGCAACAACACCTTGCGTCGAAGCCCCTCAGAGCTCAACAGTGGGCGCACCAGGTTCATCAGCAGCAGAGGCAGCAGCTGAGGCAGCATCTGAGGAACTGCAGGGGGGAGACGTCGAGATGCCGTTGCAGCATTTGGGTTCTCAGAATGGTGGGGGGAAACGCAAGATAATGGACTGCAGTTGTGAGGGGGAAGAATGCTGCACGAACGCAGGTGCGGCAGGAGCAGCAGCAGACAGCGCCAGTGGGGAGGATGGTGGTTGCACAGTTCTGAAGCGCAGCGGAAGGAGCTCTGGTGGTGGGCCAGCAGGAGGGATTGACAAGGAGCAGGCCGGTGAAGCAGGCGCAGCAGCAGCAAACAGGGCCAGTGGAGACGATGGTGGTTGCACGGTTCGGAAGCGCAGCAGAAGTTCTGGTGGTGGGGCGGCAGGAGGGATTGACAAGGAGCAGGCAAGGGAGGAACCAGAGGGGCAAGCAGAGGCAGTGACTTCTGAGACGTCTCGAAAGGATGGGGCTTGCACGGTTGGTGGGGCGGCAGGAGGGATTTCCAAGGAGCAGGCAAGGGTGGAACCAGAGGGGCAGAGCGAGGCAGAGGCAGTGACGCAAGTAACGTCTGGAGAGCCTGAGATTGGGAAAAGCGATGAAGGGTGCATATCAGGAGGAGCGGCAGTGGCCATGGGTGGAACAGGGACAACAGAGGCAGCAGCAGCACCACCAGCAGCAGCAGCAGCAGCAGCAGCAGCAGCAGCAGCAGCATGTCGAAAAAGTGATACAGAAGGGAAGGAAATAACAGTGCGGTTTGAGGTGGTTGACTCGGGCATAGGCATCCCCGCAGCAATGCTCCCGCGCCTCTTCCAGCCGTTCATGCAGGCAGATGAGTCCACCAGCCGGAGATACGGCGGCACGGGGCTCGGCCTCGCCATCTGCCTCTCACTTGTTACTCTCATGGGCGGCATCATCCACGTGTCCTCGGTGGCCAGTCCAAAACCTGCCGACCATGTGCCTGTGGCAGGATCTGCAGGTGATGCGTATGCAGGAAGCAGGAACTCCATCAGTCCCACCAGTACAATCACTACTCCCACCGGCATCACCAGCCCCACCAGTCCCACTAATCTCACCTGTCGCACCAGTCCCCTAGCTGCTGACCCAACTGCAGGTTCAGCAGTCTCGTTTGATGCTGCTGAAGCTCAACCTAGGCGTGGCACCACGTTCCGGTTTACTCTGCCCTTTAAAGTGGCTGGTACAGCTTGTGAACCTTCCAGAGTAGACGCTTTGGATCGACTGGTTGAGCCCTGTGCTGCTGCTGCTCCCAGCTTGGCGGATGCTCCTGCTGCAACTGCTGTCGCTGCTGCTATGAGTCCACTTTCCTGGTCGATGCAGGAAACCTTGCGTCTGGTGGGAGAGGGGTTGGATAACGTGGTTGAAGCAGAACAACAGCAGCAGGGCTTGGAGGGAGAGCCGCAGGAGCAGGGCAAGCAGCAGATGAATGCCAAGGAGGAAGCCAAGGAGAGCAAGGTTACAGTGGCTCAGCAATGGCGGATGCAGGATCCGCTGCGAATGGATCGAAGCCAGGAGCACGTCCGTGTATCTTCATCCAGCGATCAAGTTACAGGAGCTTCTCTATCCGTAAAGGCACCAGATTTACTGAAATCGCCTCCTCGGACAGCATCAGCGTCATTTTCAGGAGTGCGGTGTCTGGTGGTGGAGGATAATGCGGTGAACCGCATGGTGGTGGTGCGTCTGCTGCGCAGCCTGCATGTGAACAGTGATGTGGCTGAGAATGGCGTGCTTGCTGTGCAGGCGTGCCGCAATAAGGAGTACGACCTTGTGCTCATGGTAAGCCTGCCTCACCTGATTGCCTTGAGATGAACTGCCTTCTCTCATTTGGTGCCTGTGCTTCCTTACTCTGGTGTTGTACAATGGGCATACCGTAGCTGGATTTCACATCCTCAAAATGGGCGGCTAATTCCCGCCGTAGAATCACTCCTGCCTAATCACCCCTGGCTCTATTTCTTCCGTGCAGGATGTCCACATGCCCGAAATGGACGGCTTTGAAGCCACCTGCAACATCCGGGCCCTCCATGCACACCGGAGGGGTCGCAGACATGACAAAGGCATCACTGATTGCAACCAGGAGAACTTCAGAGAACATGGAGATATGTCAAGGCCGACCGGTCGCCACAAGCATTATTTCACACACCTGCTTCCTGAGAGCAGACCAATAATCGTTGCACTTACTGCTAGTGCACTACAACATGAGCGTGAGAGGTGCGAAAAGGTGGGAATGGATGGGTTCTTGACCAAGCCAGTCCGGTTGCAGGACCTTGTTTCCGTGCTTGAGCCACTACACTTGAGAAACCAAGTTGTGTGGTTTGATTGAATTGAGTGGATTGAAGGAGGCATCATGCATGCATGTTTTGCTGTAAGTAATACCGTAAATCACCTGATGTGTAGTCCTTAGAATTGCTTGTACGCCAGCCTCAGTGTGTGTTGAGCCTGACCAGCACACTAGAGTATCACTGCTTGTTAGTAACATTCCAGAGATGTGAAACACAGAATTCTAAACACTACTGGCAGCTAGCCATTAATACCCGATGGGGCTTACCATAACCCACAGAGAAGCCAAATACTCAGACTCAAATTACGGTAACGTAAGGGCCTGGCGCGTATGAGCCAAATACTGCTGCTGAACTGCTTCAGACCTGCTTCATCAAGGAGAGGCTCTAACCTCCCTCCCGAGCACTGCTTAGACGAGCTACAAAATGGGAAAACCAGAAGTGCTGCTGCATAAATGGCACTTTCTATTTAGGGTTGCGAAGGACGATGATGACGGAGTCTCCCCGCAGGAACATTTTACTGATAAATCGATCTTTATTCACTGGCTTGGCTTTCTTCTTCCCCTTCCCAGTTTTTGGAACCTGAAAAAGACAATAAGCGTGAGGGAAGATCAGCAAGAGATACAAGGTAGACAGGTCACAGGCGTTGATAACGTATGTGGAACTTCCAACGGGAACAACAGATATTGACATTGAGATTGGAACAGACATTGAGGAGGGGTTACCTCTGTCCACATCTCTTTCACGTTCTCCAAAACCATGTTGCAGTGACGGTCGAAGGCCTTCACTCTTCCAAGCAATTTCCTGTTGTTTCTGCAGTTTATCAATACCTGTCAGAAAACAAACGACGCATGCCGGGACGTGAGAACGTGAAACAACGAACCACGCCTCTGCGACTAAATCCTGGAAGGAAACAAAACCCTGATTTGATCGAACCTGGGTATTCTGCTTGACACTCATCGTGAGCACGGATAACGGTCCTGTGCTGAATTCTTCTTCTTCCTTCTTCTCCGCCTGTACGGACGGAACGACGAGCGTGATGGCAATGGAAGTGAGAAATCCATTTTACAACAAAAAAAAAAAACCGAGGGGGGAAACGACGAATATACAAAATTACGCACCTCATCCTCGTCCATTGGTCGACTGCAGGCAGAACCATCGAGACGACGAAATGAACGCAAGACACACGGAGAAAACGACAACAAGAGACAAGGCGTCAGCGTCAATCGTTGACCTTTCGTTGAGACATACGTAAGCAGCACAGACGGTACGAAGAACTAGACAAGGCTCACCTCATGGTGAAACGCGCGAAAAACAACTACTTTCTTGTTGTACTGTGGAGATGAGATCGGAAGTGCTCAGGACTAAAACCAGGTCAATTCCCTTACGACGGGAAAGGGACCTGTGAGCAGGAAGCGGAGAGTTCTCAGCAACGTAACTCAAGCCACGCAAGGTAGAAAAGCACTGAGCAACAAATGAACGATCACTCGGTATTGGGTTGAGGTTGGAATTGCATTATGGCTGAACAATATTTTCTCTTAACTTTACAGACATTGAAGAGCCACCTTGGTTACAGTAATTTGCAGTACTTGACGAGAGCTTGATCTGCCAACAAGTTATTACTAATCAACAGTTTTGGGAACACATATCACAATAATATTATCTAATACAAAGCCATTTCCCTAACAGCTTGACTTAAGCCCACCACCCAGACTACCCTAAACAAAATACTCTACTTCCCAAAGCCACCAAACAGCTTCCTCAAGCCAGACGCCTTCTTCTTCTCCCCATCTGGCTCTGATCCAACCCACGCAGCCTCCCTCTCCCTCAACATATCCAAATACTCCCTCTCCTGCTTCAGCCTCGCCTCCCTAAGCCCCTCGCCAAACCCCACAGCTGCAGGGCTTGCCGCGCCGGGACCCCCATGAACAAGCATGGGCGCAGCAGTGTAGCTCTGATGGGGTGCAGTATGTGCACTATACCCATAGGCATTGGTCATATGGATGCCATTATTCAGCATCCCCAGTTTCTCCTGGCCCTCCAGGCTTCCTCGCCGCCCAGCTGTCGCTCCTCCTGCCTCTGGGAGGGACCCGTATGGGGAGTGATGTGGCATGCTGGGGGGGTGGTGGTAGACCGCTGCTCCCCCAACATTCACTCCTCCCGCTGCTGCCACTGTGAGTGGTGCTGCTGCTGACGCACTGGCCTCCTTCCCCTTGTTCTCCTTTCCTGGCTTCTCTCTTTCCTTCTCTTGCCCTTGCTGCCCCTGCTGCTGCTCACCGCCAGGAGCAGCACTAGTCTCTGGTTCTTGGAAGGTCACAGTGCGACGAGCACGTCCGTTGGTGCTGCCATTGCCACTGTTTCCAGCAGCAGCGGGGGCAGCAGAAGCAGCAGGAGCAGCAGGACCAGCAGCTTGAGCTGCTGGCTCTACAGCAGCAACGATGACATCTGCTGCCAAGGCTGGCAGAGAAGCAGAGGCAGCAGTGGCAGTTGCAGGTGCTTCCTCTGAAGTATCTTCAACAACCATCACGTCACCATTATCTGCTGCCACAGAAGCAGTCTGTTGCTGCTGCTGCTGCTGCTCGTCAGCCTGTTCCACGGGCACTTCACCTGCTGCTTGGTTCGACTCTGCCTTTGGTCCTTCTTTGTTACTCGCAGCAGCAGTAGCAGCAGCAGTGGAGGGAACAGCATTCACGATGTCACGGCTGCGTCCATTCGCCCCACCGGTCGCACTCCGCGGTCCCAATCCCGGGCTGGACAAAACTTTTCGCTGCCCGGCCCGGCTCAGGTCAGGGCTGGCAGGCCGTGCAGCAACGCGTCCAGCTGCCCGAGCGGAAACAGTCGATCCACCAGCAGCACCGCCAGCTGTAGCGGCAGCAGCAGCCTTTCTCATGGCAGAGGAAGCAGTATGCTGCGAGAGAGACCTGCTACCAGCAAGCGATCCTAGGGCACCTCTCGCACCCGATGCAGTAGCGGTGCGGTTACCAGCAGCACCAGTAACGCTGCTAGTGGCAGTGGTGGTGCGGCGCCTTTCAATGCCCGAGGTGGAGGTGGAACGGACAAGGCCTCCTGTTGAGGGCCGCTTGAGGTGCTGCTGCCTCGCCTCCTGCTGCCGCTTCTTCTCCTCCTCCTGCACACACGAGGGAAAGGGGAGCGGGGATGGGGGAAGGCTCGAGTCGATTTATCTGCTGCCTGGTGGCCGTCCTCCATTTCCACAGGCAGCAGCAGGGAAGAACAGAGAGCATGACAAACATACTCTGGGCATTTTCTAGAGGCGCGTATAACATACTCGCACAAACAAGCATCTAGGGGCGCAAAGAGAGAACGTACCCTGCGGCGAGCAGCCTCCTGCTGCTTCCTCTCCATCTCCATCAGCACCCGGTCCTGCGGATTCGTCGCCCGGCCCCTGCCACGTCCCGCACCCGCACCAACAGCACTAGACGATGACATACTCCGCCCATGCGCGCCAATCCCAGCTCGCCCCGCCACACCGCTCCCCACCACTCCTCTTCCTCTCCCCGCCCCTCCCACTCCTCTTGCTGCTCCCACTCCTCCTGCGCCTAGTTTCTTCCCCACGCCTCTTCCTGCTGCTGCTCCTGCAGCCCTCTCAGCAGCAAGACTCAGCTCCATATCGTCTCCATACAGAGAAGAGGAAGAGGAGGAAGAACCATCCGTCCCTCCTCCAACCAGCATCGCCTCACCCAGTGACGCCTCCCACGCCATTAGATCCTCGTGATTCGACGGTCCAGATTCGTCCACAGGCCCACGGAGAGCATCTTCCCCGAGGAAATCCCGGGCAGAGGAGTCCCCCCCTCCACCCACCCCTGCCACCGCCCCCAGCATCTCCGCTTCCAGATTCGCGCCCCCGTTATAAGGCACCTGGTTAAGGGAACGGGAACGGTCGAAAGCAGACACCCCTCCTGCTGCTCCTCCTGCTGCTCCTCCTGCTGCTCCTGCTGCCCCACCAGTGAGGTAATCAGGCGAAGGAGAGGAGGAGACACCAGACATGAGCATAAAATCGTCTGAGAACGGCGCAGAGTCCGAACCAGCGCTGCTGCTGCCACTGCCAAGCCCGAAAAGCGCCCCGTCAGTGGTGCCTCCCGCTGCTCCCGCTGCTGCTGCGGCAGCGTTAGGCTGCTTGAGGAACGCCAGAGTGGTGGGATCCGCGAGCCAGTCCTTCCCTGCCAGTTCCTGCTCATACGCCCTCTGCTCCTCCTCCTCCTTCTCCTCCTTCTCCCTCTGCCGCTCCTTCTCCCGCTGCTCTCGCTCCTTCTCCTCCTGCTCCTGCTCCGCCCGCTGCCTGCTCTCCTGCTGAAGCGCCTGAATCTCCTGCTGCTGCTGCAGCAGCCGCTCCTGCTGCTGCAGCTGCATCTGCAGCTGCTGCTGCTGCAGCGCCAGCAGGTCCTGCAGCATCTGCTGCTGAAGCTCCGCCTCCTGCTGGTTCCCCGGCTGCATCAGCTGCACCTCCTGGATTCTCCGCATCAGCTCTGGGTCTAGAACGAGCTGTGACTGCTGCGGCAGCTGCTGCTGCTGCTGCGGCTGATTCGGCTGATTCTGACGCCGCTGCTGCCTCCTTTCCCCTGCAAAACCCGCTCCCTCGTCCTCGTCCTCATCTTCATCAGCGTCATCAAACTCATCTGAGCCTTCCGCAACAGCAGAAGGGCGCACAAACAGGCTTCCGCTCCCACTGCGCCGGAGCATCCCCCCCATTCCCCCTCCCCCGCCACCCCCCTTCCCCTTGCTCCAGCCGCGGCTCCCAGCAAACCCCCCGCCCGCGCTCCCCGGACGCCCCGCAACTCCCAGCACCAGCATCTCCGCATCCGCACCGTTCATCGGATCCACATCAACGGTGCTGATGAAACTGTCGGCCTCGGACAGCATTCCCGTATCCTCCCCAGCTCCGCCTCCGCCGCCCGCCGCTCCCCTTGCGCCTCCCCTTGCGCCTCCCCCGCGCGCCCTTCCCCCAGGGAGACCGGAATCCGAATCGTAGTACCGCGCGCTGCTGACGTCAGCGAGCTCCCCATTCCGCTCGCCGTTACCAGCACCGGCGCCACCCGCGCCACCGCTGTTCCCCCACGAGCGGAGCTTGGGGGAGATGCGCGCAGCCGCGCGGTTCTTCCGCCCGCCGCCCCCCATGCGGTGGTAGTGATGGTGATGCACGCCGAACACCGGCTTTCCCCCAATCCTAACCGCCCCTGGCGGTCCTCCCGCCAGGCTTCCGCCGATTCCCCCTCCGCGCCCGAGTCCCGCCATGTCTGTAACGCCGGGGAACTGGCCGGCGGCGGCTGTAGCGCCGGGGGTAACAGCCACGAGACCATAGGGGAATGGGGAGCCAGGGGTATAGCCAGGCGAACCCGGAGTGTACATCGGTACGAAGGAGTACGGGCCAGTATGGGCGGCATTACCAACGGGTGTGCCTATAGCGAAGGGCCCAGCAATCGTTGCGGCGCCGGCGGCGTCCGCAGCGGGGGAGTCTCCGCCGGCTTCGGCGGCCTCCGCGGGGTCGGCGGTGGCGGCGGCGTCCGCGGCGAGGGGGAGCCAGACTGCGGAGACGGCGGCGGGGGCGGCGGGCGGCGGGTTGGCCTGAAGCTCCCGGCGGAGGAGGAGCGTGGAGAACTGCACGCACGCTTGCCTGGGGGGAGGGGAAGGGGAAGGGGAAGGGGAAGAAGGGGATGGGGAGGGGAGGGGCACGTGGGCACATGGGAGGCTGGTTATGAGATGTCTCAACACTTGAAGCTCGCGGCGGAGGAGGAGCGTGGAGAACTGCACGCACGCTTGCCTGGGGAATGGGGACACGTGGGAAGCACGTGGGGGGAGGCGTGTGGGGACACGTGGGACGAGGAGCGCGATGATGAGAGGAGGGGGGCACGTGGAAACGGGGCCGACTCGGGTGCTCATTAGGGGTGAGACGAGAGGAGAAAGGGACGCTCACTTGAGGCGAGGGGCGTCGAAGCAGTCGGCGAAGAGCAGCAGCGACGAGAGGACGTCGCGCGTGAAGCAGGGAGTAGGGGGGGGCCTTGTGCCATGTAGGGGGGGGCCAGTGGGACACTTGCTTGAGGCGCGGGGATCTCGGGCGTGATGCATTGTGCTATCTACCATGGAGTGGGGCCAGTGAAACATTTACTTGAGGCGAGGGGCGTCGAAGAAGTCGGCGAAGAGCAGCAGCGACGAGGGGATGTCGCGCGTGAAGCCTCATACATGCATGCTAGGGGGGGGCCCGCAGACGTCTCGAGAAGGAATGCATGGAAGAGGAGAACACTCACTAGAGGCGGACGGGATACATGGAGCAAAACAAGGGGTGTGCTCACTTGAGGCGTGGAGCGTCGAAGCAGTCGGCGAAGAGCAGCAGCGACGAGAGGACGTCGCGCGTGAAGCATTGAGGTATTGGGGGCCTTGAGTCATGTAGGGGGACAGTGAGACACTCACTTGAGGCGCGGAAATCCTGGGAGGGCAGTGAAACACTCACTTGAGACGTGGAGCGTCGAAGCAGTCGGCGAAGAGCAGCAGTGACGAGAGGATGTCGCGCGAGAAGCCGCCCGCCGCTGCGCGCGCCACCGCCACGTTCTGCTCGCGCCGCAGCATGCCCAGGCGCATGTGCATCGCCTTGCGGATGCGCCTGGTAGCGGAGGGGGACGGGGAAGTAGAGGGGGATATGGGAAGGAGAGGGGAAATGGGAAGGGGAGCGGAAAAGGAAAGGGGAGGGAGAGGGGATGGGGGGGAAAATGAGAGAGGGAAGGGGGAGTGGGAATGGGAAGGGTGAGAAGTCGGGGAGACCAGGAGAGAGTGCTTCGGGTAAAGTGGGCATCGGCTTGCCGATGTGCTTACAACGAGAGTGAAAGCAGAAAATACCGAAAAGCAGAAACTACTGAAAAGAGAAACGAAAACCACATGATGAGCTCACAATCACTATTACACAGTCACTACCACCACTCACATGATAAGCTCCCCTCCCTCCTCGTTGCCATTGCTCTCAGCCACTGTCCGGAGGCCGTTCTGTGATCAAATGAGTGAAGGAGAGGGAGGGCGAGAGGGATAGGGGAAGAGAGGGATAGGAACGGTGAGTGGACGAGTGAGTCGAGTGTGTGAAAGAGAGTGAGGGAGTCGTGTGAGTAAGCGGGAGGTTAGGTGCTTGAGATGTGCGGAATGATGCGATGTTGTATCTCCAGTCGCATATCTCACCTGAATGAGTCGCCGGATGGGCGACGGCGAGCGAGAGCTGGAGCGTCGCGCACGCAGCGAGCTGTCTCGGGTGAGCGACATGCCACGATCGTCGCCGTCGCCTTCTGGGAAAGGGCACAAGTGAAAAGAGACGGGCAGCAACAAAGAGAAGAGAGAGGGAGCAGCGAAAGTGGGGGTGGAAGGGGGAAATGAGCTGGCACGGGAAGCGAGAACGAGCTAGATCGCAACATTACCGTTTCTGTAAATCGGAATAAATGAACGGGAGATGTAGGGAGTGGGCAGAACACCATAGTGGGCATCAGAAAAGCGAGGAACATGGTAGGCAAATCACACGGAGACGAGCAGCACAGCGCACAACGGAGCAAGGTCAGTGGGTGTGATTGACATGGTTAGCTTGTGTTGGCAGGATTAGCAAGTGTTGCACGTGGTTATCATGTGTTGGCATGTGCTGATAGGATTGTTATAATCGACAGATGCTGGCATGATTGATGCGTAGGCATGATTGGCAATATGCCGGGTTGGGTGATGGTCAAACCTGCATCGGACTTGGAATCGTTCTGAGGTCCAGTGAACATGGAGCGGGAGCAAGTGAGAGGAGGGGTTGGGACGGGAGAGACGGGAGGGGAGGGGGGAGGGGGAAAAGGATGAGAGGTTGGGAGAGCGCAAAAGACGGGATGGACTGAGAGGCAGGACGGACGGAAGGGAGCGGCGTAAGAGTGAACGGGAAGACTGAACAGTTCAATGCTCCGTTCTACACTGGCTAAAAAGCACGCTGACGGGAGTGAACGGCGTGGGAGTGAATAGTTCAGAGCTCCGTTTCACACTGGATAAAAAGCACGCTGACAGTGAGGATAGTTACCATCACATTCCGCGACGTGCATCACACGCGGTAGCCATAAGCGCTTAGTCTCGCATATCGAAACGGAAGCCTCGCCTCACCTGGCCGTAGTCGACGGCGGGAGAGGCAGAGGGATCGGCGGTGAGCGATTCTTCGAGGTGCAGCAGCTCCCTCTCGATCGCCACGGCATGCTCGATGAGGCCCGGCGCGCTGATGAACGACACCGCTCTGGTAGGGAACAGACAGGCAAGGAAGGAAAAACGGGAAGATTGGAAGAGAAAGAATCAAGAAAGGAAAGACGTTAGAAGAGGGTGAGGCCCGCAGCGAATTGTGAAGTTACAGCAGCTGCGACCGAGTTTCAGCTAGCTGATGAGTTCTTAATCCTCCTTCCGATATCTCCAGCCGGATTCCTAATCCTTCCGCCCTGGTGACTTGGCCGTACCTTTCCACGGTGGTTCGCGTGAACCACGCGATCAGCTCGACAACATCCGAGCCGTCCTCCTCCTTTTGAGGCGCCTCAACAGAACAAGGCCTTACCTTTCCACAGTGGTTCTCGTAAACCAAGAGATCAGCTCGTCAACATCCGCGCCGTCCTCCTCCGTTTGAGGCGCCTCAACGGAACAAAACCTTACCTTTCCACGGTGGTTCGCGTAAACCAAGAGATCAACTCGTCAACATCCGCGCCGTCCTCCTCCTCCTCCGGCGGAACATAACCCCCTCGCAGCTTCTGCCTCTGAAGCTTGAGGAAATGCGAGCGCGTGCGCGGGTCGAGCTTGATCAGGTGCGAGCCGCTGCTGAGCTGCTCCTCCACCGCCTTGATGTGGCTTGCGAAGGGCTTGAGCAGGCCGGACGAGATGACCGTTGTGCTGCCGTTGAGCGAAAGGAGAACCTCGCACCTGCGACGAACGGTTGGATCAGATTGTCAGGGAACCGAACCAGAGAGGTCATTTTGAAATTTTAGAGCCCTATCATGTCCCGGTTCCCGAGGTCGAAAGGACTACAGATGCAGATACGCTGGAAGAAACGCTGATGGTGTAGAATGTTGCTGAAAAGTGTCTCGTGTAAGGGTCACCTGCTTCGTGTCGGGTTAAGCGTCAGCTGAATGTTCTCTAAAATGGTCGCTTCCATATTGAAGGTCGTTCCTGCGATAGGCGACGAAGCCGATGAACACGCTAAACGAACATCTGTCTCCTCAACAGCTACGGTAACCTTTGAGAATTGGGCTTATACTTCTAGCTGCCGGAGCACTGGTCCGATCGATGGGCTGCAGTGAACCAAAAGCACTAGAACGAGTTTCACCCTCTAGTATAGACTGAGATTATTACTCTGGTTGAAGGGTCAACTAGCTGAATTGCTGAGCGTCGGCGTGGAATAACAATCGAGTGGAGTTGTGGAGGGATGGAATCACAAAAGGAGTGCTCAAGGAAAGGCGATTCCGTAGTTCGCAGGGTTGATAGTGATGAGAGGGGCGGAAATGGCTAATCAGACCTTCAGGCACACACATGCCAGGCAAGTCGCAATTCGCACCCAGACCTCAAGGCGCCCGCAGCTGCCGAACCGAAAGCCTGACCAAATAGTGGCGACACAGTGCCGTCGTTGCGGTTCGCAAGGGCTTCCCCAGCCATGATGCGAAGGTGACGCTACTGGACCCCGGTGTGGCACATTGGTCGCACACGTTCGTGTGGTTTTCGGCCAGCAAAGACGAACGTGTACGACAGGGATGCGACATGCAGCTTCGCGTTCCAAGCCTGTGGTATTGACGAGTTCAGGCACGGTTTGTGCTCCAGAGTGGAGCAGTCTCCGAGCTACGCGACTCGTAATTTGAACCAGGTCACAATAAGGACTTTCAAATCTGGCGGGAAAGTGAAAGGTCGAAGCTAACCAAGAAGCTCGACTACTAACCGAGCCTCCTCCAGTTGAAGCCAACATTGCCTCGCAGCGACGTGCTTGCGACACCCTTGGCACGTCGCCAAGGGCTGGATTGCTTGCGATCTCATCCCCGAGTCCCCACCAGATGCCTTGGGAAAATCCACATCAGCATGATGGCATTGTTGCGTGAATTGCGGTGGAGGAAGATTCAAGCGGAGAAAACAGGTGGTGGTCAAGCATCCACCTGGAAGACGAAGAGTCGCCAAGATATGTTTCGCCCGCCTGAGTATATTTCGCGGAATATCGTTACAACCTAACAGGTTTGAGACCTTGTACACCCTATAAAGTGAATTGCTTTCACCTCAGGGTAGATGCTGTAATTCAGATAATGTGAAAAGTTCAAAACAATTGAGTTCAATGAACCATAACAAGCAAAGATGTCAATCACACCAAGGGTTGCGAGGCTGGTTTGGATCGGTACCTGCCAGGGTCGCTTATGGTCCAGCCCGTATGTCACTAACGGTAGCTCATTCTCCATCCTCCAGCGGTTCTTACAGAAGGCAACAAACAGACATTGTCGAGCGAATGGGGCACCATCATTTCCAATTAGTCAACACGGGGTAGTTACTGTATCCAAACAAGCAAACAATGTGACTAATCTAATTTTATCCACCTGCAGACAAGGGCCAGTCATTGTCCACCAAGACCTCCACTCGCCTCCTCCTCCCTGCATTTCCTACACCTATCCTGTCACCATCATATCTAACACCTCTAACGTCTACACCACCACCAATGCTCCTTCCTTCAACATGCCGAATCTCCTGCTGAATCTCCTCTTCAGCACCGAGACCTGCCACTTCACTTCGCATCCCTCCCTTCCTCGTCACCCTTACATCACCCTCCTCTGCCTCCCTTCTTTCCTCCCGTCCTGCCTCACTCTGCCACTTCACTTCCCCACCCCTTACATCATCCTCCTCTGCCTCCCAACCCGTTGCCATCACCACTCCCTCACTCATCCCTTCGCTCCTCCCTTCCCACTCCATCTCCCCTCCTACAAACCCCTCCCCCTCATCCTCCTCCTCTGCAAGCCAGTCCCACGGAGCACCCCCCAAGTCGTCCTCCTGCCCGCCTTCCCACTCCCTCAGCACATGCAACTCCCCCTCGTCCTCCCCTCCACCAATCCCCTCCCACTCGCTCACCACATGCAAGGGTGAGTCCCCCGCCATCTCATGTACACGGACTGGGGCGTCATCTCTAGAAGAGGCAGCTTTGAAACGAGAAGAACCATTGGAAGAATCTCCAGAGGGAGAGTTGATGGGAGAGGAGTCACCTTCCCCATACCTCTCCCCATACCTCTCCCCATACCTCTCCCTATGCCCGTCCCCATGCCCTTCCCCATATCCTTTCCCGTGCATCACTGGCGCTACCAGTCCTCCCACTATCTCCGCGTATCCCATCACTTCCTCCCCTCCCCACTCATCTTCCCCCTCCTTGGGAGTACTCACCCCCCCATCTGTCTCCCCTTCCCCCCATTCTCTATGCCCCTCCATGCCAGGACTGTACTCGTTACTGTCGTACCCAGTAGCTGCATACTCCCTCGCACTGTACTCATCAGCCGAGTAATTTTGCTCCTCGGCCTCAACCTGCCGTCCCCAGTCTCTTTTCCCTCCTTCCACCCTCAGAGGCGGCCCTACTCGCTGATACACCCCGTTAGAAACCCCCCCGTTTGCAGCATTAGCAGCCATAAGCGCCAAACCTAAAGTAACCCCCACTGCGCCGCCCAAACCGAGCACCGTGCCGCCCAGCGACCCAAGCTGTCCCAGAGGCTTGGAAAACAGGTTCGGCGTGCCACACACGTTTCGAAACAAGCCGGAGAACCCAGATGAAACCTGCCGAGCCATACCACCCGTAAGAGCGTCAACGAGATGAAAGCTACTGCTCAGGAAGGGATGGGCTAGGCGCTGCAGTGGCAGCAGAGGCAACGGGACCAGGCGAGAGGCAGAAGAAACGGAGGGAGGCTCTAAAGCTAGAGGATCAGGAGCAGATGCAGAAGGAGCAGGAAAAGTGGAGGAGAAGGTGTCAGGGGAGTCAAGAGCTGAAGCACTGGTAGCTTTTTGAGGCGCCTCAACAGCAGCAGCAGCAGCAGCAGCAGCAACCGCCGCCGCAGCAGCAGCGGCAGCAACAGGTGCAACCTGCGTACTTGTGGAACCATCGTCATTCTTTATCGCAGCAGATGGCTTCCCATCTACTTCCTCCTCTCTTATTTCCTCCTCCTCCGCCTCCTTCTCCGCCTCCTTGGGTTGCTCTCGACCAATCGGCAGCAGCGGGGGGGGTGAGGGTGATTGCGAGGGTGGCAATGACGACGTGGAAGAGGGTGACGTGGAGCAGAGGGGTGTGGCGTGAGCAGGCGCATTTGACTTGCGTTGACTGGTCGGCAGCGTGGGGGAGCCATGAGGATCTGCCTTCTTGCTGCCACTCGCGACGCTGCCACTAGAGTTACTTGCCTTCTTGATGCAATCACTCCGCCTGGTACCACCGCCACTGCCAGTGGCACTGCCACTACCGCTGCTGCTGCCACTGCCGCTATCACCTCTCCTCCTGCTATGGCTGCTCTTGGAGCTGCCTGGCAGCTGCTGTTGCTGTGCCAGGAAAGTCACCAAGGAGGAAGGCGGGACGACTGGGCTTGCCTTATCTCTGATACTTGAAGTGTCGCGTTCGTTACTGTAGCCAGAATGGTGGCTCTGAGAGGAGTGGCGGCTTTGAGAAGAGTGGTGGTTTTGAGAAGAGTGGTGGGTATGAGAAGAATGATGGGTATGAGCAGAGCGGGAATGGGGGCCGCGCGGGCTGTGATTGGGCCCCTGGGATCGCTGAGGTGTGTTTTGAGGCGCCTCAAAACACACCTCGGTACCCTGGGATCGCTGGACGCGTGGAGAGTGCGCGGAGCAGCCAGAGCACGCCGAGGAGGAGGAAGGAGAGCGGGCGGGAGACGGGAGCTTGGCAGCAGCAGAATCAACTGCTTTGTGCTGCTGCGACTGTGATCTCCTGGTCGTGGAACCTCCGCAGGAGGAGGATGGAGAGCAAGCGGGAAACGGGAGTATGACAGATGCAGTGGTGGTATCAGCAGCTTTGGGCGACTGAGTCCTCCTGCTAGCGCACCCTCCGCTGCTGTTCCTCCTGCTGCTCTCGCTGTTGCTGCTGCTGCTTCTACGGCCGTTGCCAGCGGCGGGGGTTTCTTCTGCTAGAGGAATGGCTGCTCCTGGCAGGATCCGGGCGACACTGGCGATGAAGTGAAGCACTTCCCTCACCACCTGAGGGGTTAGGAAAGACAGAGGGAATAACACGGACGCAGAGGGAATAACACGGACGCAGAGGGAATAACACGGGAATAACATGGGTCAAAAGTGGAAGGGGATGCAGAATACGCGCCAGGAAGTGGGAGATGGGAGAGGAAAAGTTTCAAGACACACTGGCGGTGAAGTGAAGCACCTGAAGGGTTAAGGAATGGGGAGATAAACACATGTAGCGCTTGCAGGCTAGCAGGCATACCGTTTCCTCTCGACCGTGATGGCTCTCCCCCTGCGACCACACCACGCGCAGTGCCATCTGCAGCTCCGCCACTGCTCTTCCGCGCGCATCCGCTGCTGCTCTTCCGCGCGCGTCCGCCACTGCTCTTCCGCGCGCACCTCCACTTGATTCCCTGCTATGGCGACTCTTCAAGTAATTCACCAGCTCCCGCTGCTGCAGAGCTTGCTCCAGCTGCTGCTGCTGCTGCTGCTGCAGAATCTGTTCCTGGTCCATCAACCGTTCCAAACCGCTCTCGACCATCTCCAGAGAATCGCGCAGGGCAATGAGCACTCGAGCCTCCGCAGTACCCTCTCCCAGCCTCGAGGTTCTCCCAGTGCCCATTGCCGGCAGAGACAGACGGCCGCGCTGCTTCTTGAGCTGCTGCTCATGCTGCTGTGTGTGCTGCTGACCTCGCCCCGACAGAGAGGAAGGCGCCTCTGAGCCGGTCTGCTTGGAGGATGAACTGCAGAGGAGAGCGAAACGACACGCACGAGGCACGAGACGTCAGCTCTGGATACGTCCGGAAAACACGTCCGGACGAAAAGGTCCGGAGAATAAGTCCGGAAAGTCAATGCACGGAATAAGTGGAAGCAAATCGTACAGGACAGGGGATAGGAGAGTTTGAACGCTGCAAACCAGGAAAACTGAAAGTCGGGTGCTTACTTGTGAGAAGACGATGTGGACAGATCAAGAGGAAACTTCGACGAAAGAATAAGCGAGCTCGAGCTGACAATGGCGCCATGTTTTAGGGCTTGGGGTTGTTTCTTGTTCTCGTGGGCAGGCTGATGTGAATCAGGATGTATGGTGCTTGACGTCGTGTCTCGCTGGCTTGACCTAGAATGGAGAGAAAAACGGGATAAGAACCAATTAGAAAATGACGTGAGTACGCAATAAATGGGTTGAGGTCCGATTAAACCAACTTCACTTGTTTCCATTCATACCGTTATGTTGTGGAACGAAAAACGAACGATCCTTTGCAATTCCGGCGGGTTCAGCTATTGTGCATAGTTGAATCAGCAGTAACGATACCACGCGTGCGTGCTTTACCATGATCGTGCAGTTAAGGGAGCCGAAGCTGACGTCGCTAGAATGAAATCGCTCTGTAGGCTCCTTTCGATCGCGTCGCTAATGTTTTCGTGAAGGTTCGCAGCGCACCGAAGCAGCTCGCAAAAATGCTGCTGAGACTCCATGTGATAACAAAGAACTTCCAGGCTCTTCGAGGCAAAAGATTGGACACTAGAAGAAACGCCTCACGCTAGCGGAGGCACTCTTAATCCAACCCAACGACAGCATAAGACCCATGCGCTCATAGAAAAGCAGCAATTCACACCTGCGAAGTGCTTACAGAGAAGGCGCATGATGATGGAAAGGCATAGCTCGTCTGCTAGTTCAGCTAGTATCACTGGAGTTCCCTAAACTATGAGATGAGAACTAGGAAACTATTCTCTGGGTTTCGAGCTACGGCCCTGCGCTGGAACTGGGAATGCTGGGTGGTGGAACTGGAAATGTGAACGAGGCACACGAGGGTTCACGAAACGGTTACCTTCTGTGGTCGAAACTGTCGTCGAAAAGAGGGGCTCAAACACCAATAACAGACTGCCACATGGTGGAAACAACGTGACTCGACATGCACGATCGACGGTGAAGCGCCGGGGCGGGACTACAGAGGTGGCATTGGGCGGTACGGATGGCATCGCCACGTTGACAAAGGGCGACGCAACTAACGCACGTCCCGTACTTGCGTCGTCCAGCGACTGCCACGTCCACCAAACCAGTGATCGCCACCAGTGCTGCGACATTCCGGTGCTCCGTTAGAAATTACCGCACCACTTCATACGTCTACTGTACACAAGCATTACGTAAGCCTTTACAAGTTTTTTTACAGCCAGTCCCTTCAACAAGATGCTCTAAGCAAGAAATCATGTACACGAAGGCCTTGATTTTCAGGCTTTGGGCGCAGAATGTATATTGCGGATATCGAAAGCCACACACCGCCTTCCAATAATTGTCAGGCTTGCTTTTTCCGAACCGCGCAAAAGGTCGCTCGGAACACATCCCCCCAAGTTCCAAATCTCGTGCGCGAAGGTCGGAAACAAAACATCGAGAGTCATCTACGACGGTTTAAAACGGTCAAATACGTTTTGCACGCGTTACAGCTTGTCTTAATGCGGTTTGAAGATGCACACCAAGCTTATCCAGCATGACAAGCCAAGATGAGAAGAAAACCGCGACAATCCCGATGGTCAAATCAGTGAGAACCACCAGCAACGGTGAATAATTACGGAAGAGGCTGAGGCTCATTTTCAGATGAAGTAGTAGCAGTAAACGAATCGATCCGACGAATTCTCTGATTACTTCCACGTTCCTGTCCGCTCGCCAAGGTGAAGCATTTCGTTGCATACGATAACGAGGGAAACCCCCTGCTTCTAGCCTGCAAGTTAGAGCGCGAATAGACTCTGGCCGAATCTCGTCGAGAGCACACACAGTAATGCACATTCCACTGATCCCTGTCCTCTAAATTACTCCACTGCTCGGCGGCGTGTAGTGATCACCAGGCTCTCAAAAGTCAGTTCCTCTTAGATCGATCATACAGAGCTTTCAATTCATCGGGCCGCTGGTTCAGAATGTTCTGCGCGTGCTGCTGCGCGCAATGCTGCGAATCGCTCGGCTCGTGCTGCTGCACGGCGTGCTCTCTGGGGACGTCGCGGCGCGTCGCGAAGTACATATATGGCCTGCTCTTCCTCCTCGCGCTCGTCCTCATGTGGTGCATGCGGGACTTCGGCCATACCGCCCTCATGCATCTACCCAGTGAGTACTAGAAAAAGTAATTTATCATGAATCGTGATCTAGCGAGTCATACTGCGCTCGACCTCATGTGGTGCTTGCGGGACTTCGGCAACGCCGCGCTCATGCATCTACCCAGTGAATAATACGACGTCGTTATCTATAATGAATTGTGCTCTAGCGAGTCATACGCGCTCGCCCTCATGTGGTGCTTGCGGGACTTCGGCCACGCCGCGCTCATGCCTCCTTCCCAGTGAGTCGTCCGCGGTTGAGACTTAGTGATTCGTGCTATAGCGAGTCATTCCTCTGTGGTGCTTAAGAAAATTCGGCCAAGCCGCGCTCATGCCTCTACCCGGTGAGTTGTACGGCGTTGTGGTTTATAACGGTTCGTGCTGTAGCGAGTCATGTCACGCGCATCATGCATCTACCCATCTGCAGAGAGTAGGACCAGTCCTCCCATTTGAACCACGGGGCTCGTTCCGTGGTCGCCCTGAACGCATTTGGTAAGTCCCTCTCTTCCTCCCTCACTTTCTCTTTCTCCTCCCCTCCCTCCCTCCGTCCCTCCCTCCCTCCATCCATCCCTCCCCCCCTCCCTCCCTCCCTACCTCCCTCCCTCACTCCCTCCCTCCCTCCGTCCCTCCCTCCCTCCCTCCGTCCGTCCCTCCCTCCCTCCCTCCCTCCCTCCCTCCCTCCCTCCCTCCCTCCCTCCCTCCCTCCCTCCCTCCCTCCCTCCCTCCCTCCCTCTTCCCCTCCCTACCTCCCTCCGTCCGTCCGTCCGTCCGTCCGTCCCTCCCTCCCTCTCTCCCTCCCTCCCTCCCTCCCTCCCTCCCTCCCTCCCTCCCTCCCTCCCTCCCTCCCTCCCTCCCTCCCTCCCTCCCTCCCTCCCTCCCTCCCTCCCTCCCTCCCTCCCTCCGTCTCTCCCTCCCTCCCTCTCTTCCTCCCTACCTCCCTCCCTCCCTCCCTCCCCTCCTCTCTCCCTCCTTCCCTTCCTCACTCCCTACTTCAGGGAGTATAAGCCGGGCGACCAGCCGTGCACAGCAGCAACGGTGGTGCTGTGCACTGGGCTTGGCATGTCACTCTTCTTCGCCCTCATGGCTCTAACCACCAATCAAGTGCACGTCACTGCTCCACCCTCTTCTGACAGACTTCAAGGAATGCAAGCCAGGCGACCAGGCATGCACAGCAGCGACGGTGGTGCTGTGCACGGGGCTCGGCTTGTCGCTCTTCTTCTCAATCCCTGCTGCCCTGTGCCTCTCCTTTCTTTCTTTCCACAGGCTTCAAGGAGTGTAGGCCAGGCGACCAGGCGTGCACCGCAGCGACGGTGGTCCTGTGCACAGGCCTCGGCATGTCTCGCTTCTTCTCCCTCATGTCCCTCACCACCAAGAGGGCGCGTCTCCCTATTCCCCCCCCCCCCTCTTGCCCACAGCCTTCAAGGAGTGCAAGCCGGGCGACCAGGCGTGCACAGCAGCAACAGTGGTGCTCTGCACTGGGCTCGGCATGTCGCTCTTCTTCGCCCTCATGGCCCTCACCACCATGGGGGCGCGCGTGGATGGCGGGGGGCGTGACACGTGGCACTCCGCCTGGTGGCCGCCCAAGCTGCTGCTTTGGGTGGCATTGCTTGGCATGACAGTCTGTCTTCCTCTAAGTGAGTGTCCTTAAAACTGGAAAACAAAAAAGGTTAAGAGCGGTAACTGAGGGTTCTATGCGGTTGAGAACTTTGATGCAAGGAGGCTTTTTGTGAAGTGATTGATGGGTGGGTAACCTCTTAGGAGCCTTTCTTGTTTCTTGTATCCGATGTCCTACGGCGTATCAGACACGTTTCCTTAGTCTTATCCGTCTCCTCTGTGCCACGTCACCCTGTGCAGGCGTGTTGAGAATATATGGCTACGTGGCAGTGGTGGGGGCGGTGATCTTTGTCATTATCCAGCTTGTCAGCATGCTCAACTTCGTCTTCGTGTGGAACGACACGTGGCAGGCAGACAAGAAATGGTGAGCTTGTTATGAACTGGTGTCAAATCAAGCGGGGCCTGCACTTACACGCTCATGCCATTATATCATCATGTCTACCATCATGCCTACCATCATGCCTACCATCATGCCATCATGCCATCATACCATCATGTCAACCATCATACCATCATGTCTACCACCATGCCATCATGCCCTCATCTACCCCTTCTTCGTCATCGCCTCCCCTGTTCCCTCTTGCTTCCTCCCTTTCAACCCCTCTCTCTCCCAGCATATCTAACTCAGGCACGTGTTGGGGTGACTTTTGAGTCGACTCAAAAGTCACCTCGGTTCCCTCTTGCTTTCCCCCTTTCAACCCCGCTCTTTCCCAGCATATCTAACTCAGGCACATATTGGCAGCAGTGCTAACAGGAGTGGTAACCGGAGAATGTTACCTATCAGTGGCAGCAGCAGCAGCCCTCGTGTATTTGTTCTTTGTGATCTCCTCCCCTCCCCTCTTTCGCACTTATCTTATCCCTCAGGCACATATTGGCAGCAGTGGTAACAGGAGTGTGTTACCTGGCAGTGGCAGCAGCAGCAGCAGCAGCAGCAGCAGCAGCCCTCATGTACATTTTCTTCGTGCCCTCCTTTTCCCGCTTGCTCAACCTCTTCTTTCCCTCGCCTCCCTCTTCGCCCCCCCCTCAGGCACGTGTTGGCAGCGGTGGTAACCGGAGTGTGTTACCTGGCAGTGGCGGCAGCAGCGGCCCTCATGTATCTCTTCTTCGTGCCCTCCCTCGCCTGCTCGCTCAACATCTTCTTCATCTCCTCGCTCCTCCTCCTCGTTCTCCTCCTCACCGTCGTCTGCCTCCTCCCAGCTGTGAGTATCGCTCCTCTCAGCAGCGAGTATTGCTCACTTAGCATTCCACTGCACTCGCTCAACTATCGCCTGCTGCCTCTCAGCCGTGAGTATCGCTCTCCTCTAGCCTTATCCTGCTCGCTTAACCTCCTCGCTGCTCCTCCTCGTTCTCCTCCTCACCGTCGTCTGCCTCCTCCCAGCTGCAAGAATCGCCCTCCCATCCGTGAGTATCGCTCTCACTCCTCTAGCCCTCGCCTGCTCGCTCAACCTCTTCTTCATCTCCTCGCTGCTCCTCCTCGTTCTCCTCCTCGCCGTCGTCTGCCTCCTCCCACAGGTGAGTAATGCTCCCCTCTTGGCTCTCGTCTGCCCTCACCCTTACGCCCCCTGCCCTCGTCTGCCCTCACCCTTGCGCCCCCTGCCCTCGTCTGCCCTCACCCTTGTGCCTCACCCTTGTGCCTCACCCCTGTGCCTCACCCTTGTGCCTCACCCTTGTGCTCTCTGCCCCTGTCTAATCAACTGCAGGTTGAATCCACGGGGCTTCTAAGCACGGGAGTCATGGCGCTCTCTTTCGTCTTACCCTGGCCCTGCGGGCCCCCGTCTGCC